AACAAGTGAGAAGTGATGACAAGGAGGAAAAAATGGGGAAAAATAACAAAACTGATATCAGACATTCTACTGCCCTCCCTGGGAAAAAAGAAAACTTCCCCATTTCCCTTCATTTTGCTCATGGTTTAAATTACACCGCAAACAAAGAGGTTATTTTAACGTGCCTGGGAAATAGTTGCATCTTTCCAGATTGTTTAATTTAGCCAGATTTTAAAAACAAACAAAATCTGTCTAAATTATTGAAATAATTTATTTCCCAAAGTTATGCAGGAAAAGGAAATTTCATCCCTAATGATGTAAGATGTGTTGTAAGAAAAGTGTTTACTCTCATTCCTGCCCTTGTCTTGTTTAAAGCTATCAACACAGCAAATTATGCAGGCAAAATACAGAAATTCCTTATTCCTTACAAATCTTGTAATACCCCTCACCACAAAGAGGAAGAAAACTACATCCACTCACAGCTACAAGACTTCACATTTTTTTAAACAAAATACAAACGTTTATAAGGACTTACCCCAAATACTCTGTGTATGTATACAATAAAAGCTCTTTCAGTTTGGTTCAAAGTATGAGAGCACACAAAGAACACCAAGAATGTAATTGAGAGCTGCAGCTATTTCCCACCCTAAAAAGATATTCCAAACCACTGAATACTCCACAATTGCTCTTCAGATCTAGAGTTAAAGCTTGCATTTGAAAAGACCCAATTGCATTTCTCAAATACACCAGTCAACTGACATGTCAGTTATTGCTGGTGTGGCACTTACTTTGTCCATTGTATGGTGTTCCTCCATAAAAACAAGCTACTGTCAGCTTTCTCGTTATGTCCTTGAAATCTTTGGCAACCTGGTTTGCCAGCTCTCTTGTTGGAGCAAGAACCAGAACCTACATTGGATGACAAACAGATAAATACTCAACATGGCTTCTACCTAGCTGCTGCTGTCACAGAATCATAGAATGGCTGGCATTGGAAGGGATCTCAAAGCTCATCCAGTCCCAATCCCTGCCATGGGCTGGCTGCCCCCTACCAGCTCAGGCTTCCTAGGGCCCCAATCTGTGGTCTTAGACACCTTCAGGGATGGGGCACCCACAGCTTATCTGGGCAAGCTAGTCAACATTAGACTTTCAGCCACCAGTTTAGGTCTGACCATAACATCATTAAAAAAAAAAAAAATGGTTCAAATAGTTATCTAAGCAAAGATTAGGGAAGCACACTGATTAAGATTCTCATAACAGCATTCATTTCCTTCAGCATTACCCTTTTTAAGACAGAGTTTCTAACTATTAGATAGGAAATACTTAAATCTTATCTAACTTTAGCTTCTGAACAGTTGCTTGAGTATAAGATCAAAGAATTTGGATAAGAAAAGTTTCTTCAAAAACATACAAACAAGAAGCCCTGCAAGCTTGGTACTCCTTTACAATCCTGTGAGAAGGTGTAAGGAAAAGCCACCAAAACCTACCAGCTGTCTCAGTGAAACATACTTTTGGTCTGCAAACTGGAGCTCAGCACAGTTCTGCAACCTGCACTGATATCCCCACAAAAGCAGCCCAACAGCTTTCTTCTCTCCCAATGCACAGGCCTCAACGTAGATGATGGACACACCACAGGAGTTTTAATAGTTGCAATACTACTCTCAAATCTGACAACAGAGAATCCCTCAATAAAAACTCTCTCTTCTCTGCAAGACGAAATCTCAAGTCAGTTCTCCCAAGTCAGCCAACATGATGGCTGGATGCAAAAAATGCACCTAATGCCTTTTAGTTTTTTCAATTAAGTTTCACGTAGCCCATGAGATGAGTGACAAGATGAACTTCACAGACAAAACATTTCCCACCACAGAAGAGCATACGATCAGCTTTGGCCTATCTAATTTGGGGATACACTATAAGAATTTGGTAAAATAAACTTAAGAGAATAAACTTAGTTGATCAGAATGCTGACATGTCGTAATGAACGTGCATTCTCTGGAACAAAAGTTTCAACATCTTTTGCTCGTCCTACTGAAAAATAAGTATTTTTAATATCTCCCACCATTTCAACAAACTCATTTAAGGAGATAGCTTTTATCCCTGCATAAATGTGAAGCACTTTTTTAGTGAGTTAATCTTCTGAATCACTTGGGCATAGGACAAACGCAAAACCAGCATTCTAGCCAGGTAGTTACTTTTGGTGAACGGCCTCTTCTTCTTTCCTGCGAATCCGTCTGAAGCTTTTCAATTAATGGAATAGCAAAAGAGAAAGTCTTCCCTGTTCCAGTTCGTGCTTGAGCAATTACATCTTTGCCAGAATATACTGGGTGGAAGGTCTTCACTTGCACAGGAAACAGGTATGTCACTCCTCGAGCTGCAACAATTAGAACAGACTGCTTTAATACATTACTTCTCAAAGGAGGTCACCCTTAGCAGAACATCCACCAAACAAGCCTAGAGCAAGTCAAGACTTTATCTTCACCTCTGCTGATTTATTTAATCACAGAGGATTGATTTAATCCTGACACAACCTTAGGGCTGCCTGCCTTACTCTCCTACTTCATAGCACCAGAGTCAGGGACAGACGAAATTATTAGCCATTAATGAAAGCTCTTAAATACTCTGACTGTATTTACGTAGTGCTCCCCACTTAGCTAAGAAAAACTTTTACTTTCAAATAAAATGTCAATATTACTTCATCTCTTCACTTTACATTAAGTCATTCACAAACTAATGTCAGAGATGCTAAATATAACCGGTTTTCCTTTACATGCTATGAAATAACTTTGAACCGAAAATTTCCCACACCATTTTTTGAGCTATCTTTCATTTGAAGTTCTACTGTAAAGCCTGAGCTAGGCAAATCACATCATGAAAAGAAATTTACCTTGAAGAAGCTGAACGGTCCCTTTAGAGATAGGGAAATTGGAGAAAGCACCCTCTTTCTGCTCTTCAGTCATTTCCTGTTAAGTAAATAATAATTCATAAAATGTTTCCTACGAATACCATGTGCGACGATCAGAAAACGTAGGATAACAGCATACACACTGGTGTCCCAGCCAAAGCTCAAACTTTCAGTAACAACATCATAGCTGTGGCTGAAGAGCCTTCTTTGTTTTACTTACTGTTATATTTCAAAGTTAGACAGAAGCAACCTGTAATTCAAATGAAGACTTTGCCTTAACTACAATGGCATAATAATGCAAGACATCCAAACTCCACTCCCCAAAATTCTCAAGATTATATTTTAAACAATTACTGACAGGCAACCAGAGTGCGTTGTAACGGGCAAGAAACGAGCCTGAGACCCAGCTAACCATCTACTGCCCAACTTGTACAGCACAGTCATTTCCAGACACAAACTGATTCCTAGGAGTAACAAAACAAGGCAGACCAGCAAATCTTCCTAGAGCCTCACTTCAATGTATGTTTTAGCAGGTAGAATCAAAGTCCAAAAAAATAAAAACATTACTACAAAAGGGCTGAAAAATACGAAACTGTTACAATGATACATTTTATTACACTAAGGTGGATCTTATCATATTAAAAGCTAACAATTTATTACATCACGCATTAAAAAAAAAACTGTTATGTTTCTTTCTCCACTAACTATAATTAAAAAAAATTACCACAGAAGAACTCGTATTGGCAAGAAGCCAATTAAAACAAATCTCTAGCGATCACAGCCACTGCCAGTAAATCACACCCAGATGCCCTCTGCGTGCAGCCTGAAGGCAGCAACCAGCAGCTCCAACGGCACTGGCACTGTTGACACGAGGAAACCACGGGCGCTGATCTAGAACTTCAGCACTCTCACAATTCCAACTGTTTGCAAACAACTGCCAGCAAGAACTGCCAAGCAGCTTTCAGTCTGGAAAGTCAGGGCAGCCTTCCCATTGGTTGTGAGGGAAAAGCACGCACGAAGAAATGAAGATAACCTGCTCTAAACGTAGGCTGACTGTAACACAGGTGCTGAAAGCTCCCCTTGTCACCATGGCACACCAGGTACCCCCATTACCTGCTCCTGGTCACTGTCCCCATCCCCGCTGGACGTTTCGCTGGAGTTGCTGGGCTGTTTCTTGTGGGTGGATTTGGCACTGATAGAAGACAGCTTGGCATTCTCTGGGCTCTCCTCCCTCACGTGCCCATTTTGCTTCCCTCTGTTCTTTGCTTTCTTGGGCTTTGGCGAGTCACTCTCTTCTTCTTCTGACTGCTCGCTTTCATCTGCCTGAGCTTTCCTCTTCCGAGCCTTATCGTGCCGCTTGGATTTCTTCTCTTTCTTCTCCTTCTGGCGAGCCAAAAGCAACAACGCCGTCAGAGAGACGCGCACACGTGCGCTCCCGGCTGCTCTCAGAGGCGGGCCGGGCGCCTCCCGCTATCGGGACACCCGAGCCCACGCCGTAGGGCTCGGTCTCCACCTCAGCCCCCGCCCAAGGACACCTACCCGGCCAGCCGCCCCACCGGGCCAACCCCGCTTGCCCGGCGGTCCCGCCTCACCACGAGGCCTCCGGGAGGCCATGCACGTGGCCGGCCCGGCCGGGTACCCCGCGGCACAGGTCTTGCCCGGCCCGAGCTCCTCCGGAGGGACGGGGCCTCCAGCAGCCCGCGCCGCTCCACGCCGTGCCGGGAGATGGAAGCGCGACCGCCGGCACGTGGGAGGAGCGGCACAAGCGGGCCGGAGCCGGCCTCGGCAGGCTTCGGAACCCTCCCCGGTACCTTGCGCCGCCGCCGGCTGCCGTCTGGCGCAGCCTCACTTTCCATAGGGCTGTCGGGCTCCGACTCGGCCCCGCTGCCGGCACGGATCCGGGTAGCCTCAGGCATCGTCGCTCGCCGGCCACCGCGCCGCAACCGCGCCGTGACAGGAATGGACCCCACCCCGGAAACCGGTGCCGATCCCGGCGAACTGCCGCCGCCCCATAGCCAATGGGAGGCCGCCCCTCGGCCGGACTACAAATCCCGGCGTGCCCCGGGGTCCCCGCTCGGCCTGAACTACAAGTCCCAGCGTGCCCCGCGCGAGCCCCGGCCGGACTTCCCGGCAGCGGAGCGCTTTGGTGCCCTTCCGTGACTGTGTAAAGCACGTGTATGAGGGCAGAGAAGAAGGCGGGAATAAGGCATCGAAATTATCCGCGGGGCGGCAGAGCGCGCTCCCCATTCGCGAGAGAAGGCAGGGGCGCGCGGCTGGGCGCCTTCCCTCACACTGCAGAGCTCATCAGCCCACAGTTGGCCCCGTGCGGCTCGGCGGGGCAGCGAGAAAGGCTCGGCGGTGAAGGAGTCTGCGTGTGAAAAGGTGCGTGCCGATCCAGTGCTCTGCGTCGTTTTCCGACAGGAGGTGCAGCGCCTGCCGTCGGTCCCGAGAAGGAAACGCCTTCAGCAATTTTTAGGTCGAATACAGTTGTGCTTGGGCAGTGCGTGCCCGCCCCCAGCGAACAGCCGACCCGAACGCACCGTGTCAGCCCTCATTTTTATTGGACGAGGAGGTGCAAAAACAAACAAACAAAAAAACCCCATACATTTCTGCTATTGATATCTCCAAAATGTTAACAAAAGGCTTATATTTACAGGCAGCCCCAGACATCACCAAGCGCAATTATAGTATGCTTGCACTATTAGAAATAAAAAGTTGACATCTTATTAAAAACTTAGCAAGCCTTCCTGGCTAGAATTAGCTGAAACAAAGCACTTTTTGTCACTGCCCTTCCACTCTCCATACATTGCTAGAATGTATGTTCTCCGTACATTGCTATTGATGCTGTCAGAGTTTGGCAGGAAGCTTCATCTTCTTTTCAGTCCATCTAAAAGAAGAATTATTAGATGTCAGACTTCACGGTCTAAAGACAAAGCAGTACTGCTTTGGTTTCTGCTACCTCAGATGGCATCAATACCATCAGACTGACCAAGGGGCTCCAAGTGGCCGCCTCCAAGGAATACAGGAGAACTGTGCCAAAAAGCCGCTTAAGGGAAAAAAAAAAAAAGAACAACCAAAATCCCACTCCAGCAGCATTTCCTTAAAAACTGTAAGATGTGATTTGCTCCTGTATATATAAGCTGCTCAAGGTGATGACACATATCAAATGATGACCTTTAATTAAAGGACTCAAATGAGTGCTTTAATTGCACTTAAGCATCGGTCATTTAAGGTCTTAGGCACATAGAATGCTATTAAAAATTGATGTAATTTTTCCCCACACAGCATTTTAACTTCGGTTCTTGCCAATTAGTTAACAGCTGTGTAAGTCTTACCCATGTGCAACTCTATGTAAAATTTGTTTAATATCAATTCGTTTTCCATTAAGAAACTTTCAAAAAATCTCTTCGAAAAACTATATAGTTACAGTCTACAGGTAGCCAGTGAAAGGAGCCTCTCCATCAAGGTGGTGTGAACATTCTCCTGTCTGTTGTGAGCAAGTTGGATATTTTGCACTTTAAGTTATGATTAGACATCTTTATAAAACACATTTTATTCTTCACCTACAACCAGGGTAACTATGACAATATCTATAATGTCATATGGCAAGCTGGATCGTCTTGCCAACAGAAACACGTTGAGTTTATCCATGTTCCTGAGCATTTCTGCAACTATGCATCTCCATCTTGTACTGTGAATGCAAATGCAAAATACAAACAGCAGCATATGCATAGCAGATTTAAGCAGAAGGTTTATGGAATACGGCATGGGAGCACTATAAATGTTGAGTGTTTCTGGGTCATATGTAAAAGATAATACCAGTTTTGCTGCTGGGGAGGGGTGTTTATGATATACAGCAAAACGTCTACACAAATATGACTGTTGTTAACTAGGTGATGATACATGTAACTATGTTACATGTATTTTCTTACCTTGGGGAGTCAATTCCACTGTCTCCTGTAATGCTGTGGTTTTCTGCCCCTCCTGTGTGATTCTGTCCTGGTATCACAGTGTATTCATTCATTAAAATGAGACCTGTTATTCCTGGGGGGGTTCTTGCTTCTTTGGCTTGTGGGCCCAGATTGTGGCATGGCACTACTTCTGCCATCTCACAGGTGCGGTTCTGCAAAGCGTCAGCCTCATCAGTGTCACAAAAATCTACAGCTGAAGCCTTCATGCATTCAGTAAAGCTGGTTTCTTTCTCCTGTCTGGATACCATTGGAAGAACCTGGCTGCACAAACAACTTTCTTCTGCGAGGTCTGGCTTTTGATGCTTTTTTGAGCCATAAGTTGATTCTGTAAAATCAGCACTTCCCTTGTATCCATACCCTCCAGAGTCATACCTATTTACAGTTGTATTGTATTGGTTTGAATAAATATTAACCTTAGAGATTTTTAGAGCAGTCCCCATCTTTTGCACAGCTTTACTCCAGTCTCTTGCGACTGAAAATGCATGGCAAGAAAGCAACTGATGTGGTTCTTTGCATTCAAAATTGTCATCCAGATGCAACAAACTACACTTGTCACAATCATGTACCTTCTGGTTCTGAAGATGGCATCTGTTGGTAAATCTGTTGCTTTCCAGCTTTGTTGATCCAGAACAGTTGGTACAGTCGTATTTAAATACAAGTTCATTCTTTTTATCAGTCTTTTGTCTGTGTGTCACACCAAATTCTGTTTCCCTTGTAACACTGGTTGTATAATTTGAGAGGTGGACGTTTTGAAATTCATTTGCTGCTTGGTCCAACAACTCACCAACAGCGTCAGCCTTGTACCTGCAACATTCACCTTTCAGATGTAGTAAATGTTTTGCTTTTTCTTTACGCACACTTTTATCTTCAGTGTAGAAGTCTGGGGATTTTTTAATATTCCCAGGATTTCTTTTCACAGTTCCTCTGCAGATGTTGTCTTCAGAAACATTACTCTCCAGAAAGTATTTATGTTTATCATCTATTCGCAAAGTACTGCTGTGCAGATAACTGACATTGTCACTTAAGCTGTTTTTCTTTAATTGGAAGGAAAACCTATGAGCTTGGGGTGATTTGTTTTGCTTAGTGTTGTCAGCCTGCACTTCAGCAAGCAGTTGTTCAGCTTCATATTCGGAGGCTCCGGGTGACTCCAAGGACTTTGTAAGCCTTTGTAAATCTCTTTCCCGCTTTCGTCTCCTGGACTTCTGCTGGCTGTTAATACGACCCTTGTATGCTTTTGCATAAAAGCTGTGTCTCCATGAGAGACCCTGAAAAGGATTCTTAATTTGCTTTTTATATAGGACCTGGGATTCCACTGCTGCATCCAGCGGCTGTTGGTTTGTGACAAGCAGTGAAATGTTCTCTTCCAGCTTCTCACTTTGGGGTGTTGGCTCATGCACATGAGGTTTCAAGTTGTTTCTGCTGATTTGCTTCTCTCTGTTTGGCTTCTTTTTCCTTTTGTGTTTTGCTGTTCTAATTTGTGCCTTTTGAACACACTCCTTTGAAAGATACTTTTGCTGTAGTGTTAACACTTCAGCCGAGATATCCTTAGTGGTATTTGTTTTCCTCTCCTCAAACTTTTGCATTAATCTTGTGTGTTTAATCAAATTATCAACGGTAAGAGTGGGGTTAATACACCTGATGATTTCATGTTCGACATCACGTGGAATATTATCTAAGTCATCTTCATCTCTGACCGGCCACTCGCTGGGGGGAAACTGGGCTGAAAACGTTGAGTACTCCTTATGTTTTTCTTTTTTAGAAGTACTTCTCCAGAAAAGGCCAAGGCCAAATCTTCTACATTTCAGTTTCTCTTTCACTGACGTCAGGGTTTTCATGGTGTCCCAGGCACGGTTTTCAGCTGATGAAGAGATGACCTGAGTTTGAATCAAAGGCTTTCCGTCACTGCAGCCTTTCTTGCCTCCTCCCTCAGGTTCCTGGTTCATTAGCTGCTCAAGTCTTTGTTCACAGAGCATATTCTGGCCAGGGAGACAACGGGATACTTTAGCAATGTTTTCTTCCCCTGGGTCTGCACAGCTTTCCCAGGTTGCCTGGTAAGCATCCTCACTGTTTGTCCGCTGGCCCCTGTTATTGTATTCTGCAACATCATTTGTGACAAAGTACATGTTGGGGGTAATGATGAAATATCCCTCTCCTGTGTGATAGATCTTCCTTTCTTTAATTAGAGTGCCAAGGATGTTGTGTAAGATTTTCTGGGAGGGAACTGCAATGCCTACAAGGAAGCTACAGATACTTCAAATTAGAACAGATTTTTCAAATAAAATGAGAACTGGTCAAAAAATAGCTTACGATAGATCTGGAAGTGAGTCAGCATGAAGTGCCCAATGTAGTTAGTTTGCAAGATTCAGAAAGAAGTTTGAAATTGATGTGGCAGCTGAAGTACGGATAGGAAATGCTCAATTTCAACATGGAAGTGTCAGATGCCTCAGGACAAATAGCAGGACTGTTCTTTTACACACCACCAAAGCCAGCAACAGTGCTAGCACCCAGCTATCTGCCACCCATTCGCCTGAGGCTCCCTTAAGATGGCAGTGACCGCCCCAAAATCTGGCTGGGGACAGCAGACTGCAGCCCTGAATCAAGGAGAACCCCCTGGGCTCGCCAGGTGAGGGCAGCACGGAAACATCATTGGGCCCACAAGAGTGAAGACTCCCAAAACAAGGTGAAAACAGCAAGAAAAACGTTCTCTCCTTCTGTAAACATGGAGTGCTCCTTCCAGCTGAGCTATAAGTGGCACTGTGTGGAATCTCGGTTCACATATAGGCTACACATTGCTGGCAGCTTTCAGAACCAGTTGATGGGGTTGCATTAAAATTTTTCCTAGTAATGGGAAAGCTTACTTATAACAATTGCAGAGCTATGAGATTACAACCATTCAAAAGAGAAAGCTTAGAATGAAACCTAACAACCTCCTGCAAAAGGCTATAATGAGCTCCTACAGAGTCTCACATACATGCTCCCACACCCCAGTTCAATAACCTGAAGGAAACTGAACACTTTTCACACTGAAGGAAAATGCAGCATTGGATGGAAGTGTCTGCTGTCCCATCGGTAAAGGAGGACTTGGTGTAATAAACTTGCTTTCAGGAAAGGAGAAGCTGGAATTTGACCAACAAATCTGATTTTGAGACCACTTGCATTTATGATAGCAGATGCTGATTGTAGCTCCCAGGCTGCAAACTCCTTTGCCAAAGTCAAATGCATTTCTGCTTCTTCTTAAAAAGGACCCGAAGTCTTACTGATATGACAAATAGTCTGTTCTGTGCTTTTCCAGACCTCTTCCCTGAACACCTCATGTATGCTTTCCCACTCTTGAGGAGCATACTCTCAGCACACTGCTGCACCCAGTTCTCTTGATTATTCTCAAGGATTTATTAATCCTCATACTGAAAGGAATGTTACTGTTGCTTTCAGATTGATAAGCACTGTATATATATTGAAGTATTCTCCCATCTGCTTGCTGATATTCTTATGCATTGCTCATCCAATATGAATAGATAACTCAAGGTTGATGATAGAGTCATTTTTACAGGAAGGGAAACAAACACATTACCTGGATACCTTTTCACTAACTGCTCCACTAAAGTTTTCTGTGTGACCATGGTTTGGTCTGCATTCATGTCTGATATGGCACAGCAGATTCCTTCTACCAGAGGAATAGACAGAGATAGTGAGCATGGATTCATCAGAGCAGGGAGTGTACCACCTATACTCCAGAAGGAACAAAAAAGAAGAAAACAAACAGTTTGAATGGAACAGTATTTCATTTCTCTGTTAGTCATAGCTGATTTTCAATTAGATTTTCTTTTGTTGCTTCAACACGAGCACCTTACCCTCAATTACTTTTCGTTTGCAAAGTACTCAAAGATTTCTCAGGGAAGACAAGTGGCTCTAAATACTTAATGTGTTTTTGTAATGATGGAAGCAAAAGGCTACTTCAAGCACATTTGTTTGTTTGGTATTAAAGTCCAGCTTAAGCCTTAGCTCAGTAATGAGGTAGTCAAGAGAGAGAAGCTCATCTGATAACTGCTGATAATTTTATGACTGTTTATATATGAACCACACAGAATATATAGTTCTCAGAGTAACTGATGAAAAACGTCAACATCCAATAGTCAGAAGTAAATAATGTAGGAAAACCTGAAATTAATGCTTTCCCTGAAAGCTGATGACAAAGCAGAAAGCAGGAACTTACCTGAGGTCTGCGCATGCATTACGACAGGACAACATATACCTTCTCAGACAAAAAAAAATAACAGGCTTTTTTCTTCCCCTTTTTTTAGACCAACGATCTGTTCCCTACACCTGGTGGTATTTTGTGATCTCTTCCCTGTTCTCTGTTGCAGAGAAAGCTCCAGCTATCCTCAGCACCAGCTGGTTACTTCACGAGGCAAAAGCTGGAGTTAAATGCTAACTGTAATTTTCCCGCAAGTGAGAGGTGACATCTGAGATTGAGTGACATTCAGGTTTGGCTGAGCTGCAATTGGATAGCCTGCTGGCTGACTCGGGAACCTGATATTTAGCCTTTCAGCAGAAAACAACAACACAAACATTTCTTTCAGTAATGAGTTTAGCTATTGCATTTGGGAAAGCTCAAATTGCTCTTGACCTTTGTTTTCCAACTGCGATTACTTTCAACAAAAAGCACTGAAAAAAAAAGAGTCCTGGCACACGGTTTCCCCGGTGATGTTTCTAGGATACTCTTTGCAGGTGCAGGAACCATTGCAATCTTTCTTTTTGTATGGGAAAAACCCATCAGCATTCACTAATAACTCTTCAGAACAATTTGTTGTCTCAGCTCTCTGCTGTAGGCACGGTGTTGCAGCCAGTTTTACCATTTGTTCCTGTAGATCTAGGGAGTAAAACACCGGATGTAATTGGAATGCATTATGTTTATTAATATTAATTATCTTCCATCACTCTCTGTGTCTGCCTCACAGCCTCAAATCCCACGTCGTCTTTAAGGGAGGGGTCTTCCAAGGTAGCATTTAAGAAAAGTAGCAAGCAAAAACCAGCTTGATACTGAAGGAAAATGAGTATATATTGAAATTGCATTTTTCACAGTGCAAACTTATTTAAAATGCCCAGAGTAGATCAATAGTGCTAACAATAGGAATATTAAACATCATTCCCTCCTGACTTTGAAATACAAGCTAGAATTGTATTTAGCAACTCCTATCTAGGCAGTCTGCCAGCAATCATGTATTACTGTCTTTCACTTTGGTTTGCCAGTCTATTCAAACTCTGCTCATTACCTGGGCACTCAGAACCCAAGAATACCCTTTTAGAGCCCATATCCATCACAGTGTGGGCAAGTTGTCTGTAACATGAGCACTGGTGTACAGGAAAGCCTCTGGTTGTTCTTGACTAATACAAAGTGATTTTTTTTTTTTTTTATCCTGACTGTAACATGAGCTCTATAACTTTTCATTAAGCTGTTCAATAATTGCAGATTTTTTGCATCTCCAGCCTCTAGGAAGAATGACATGTAAGTTGTTGCTCGTGCAAGTCTTCAGAAAATAAAGAGAAGCACATTTTATTGCACCAGAGCTCAAGTTAGTCCTTAAAGATTGAGGCAAACAATTTCATAACCGTAAAGGGTTCACAGTAAATAATTCTAGGGAAAAAAATAAATACAAATCAATAATAATCTCTACTATATGGTTCCACTTCCACTGAGACAGAACAGACACAATAACAAGTACAGCTAAAAATTCTGTTCTGTAGTCGGAGAGGTCTATGTAGGAGTGTTAAGCTGAGCATAAAGGGAAATATTTTAGTGGGGAAGCATTGATGGTAGGCAGATGGTTGTACCGGATGATTTTGGAGATCTTTTCCAATCTTGGTGATTCTATTCTATGATAATGATCCCACTGTTCCTGTGCCTTCCTGCAGGAGAGCCCCACTGTGTTTGATTCACTTCACTTTCTGCACAAATGCATGAGGAAAGCTAGCAGCAAGTACAGCTCTGTCACAAACCGAGAGGCTTCTTCTTTTCTATATACTAAAGTGCATCCTGGTCACATTTTATAGTAAACATCACATTTCATAATTAATGACTAGGAATAATTTTAAGCAGGAAAAATGTTAATAGGAACACAGAAAGTAGGAGAAATTTTGCAATAGCATTTTTTGAACATTAATGGGGATTTTCAAGGCCTTATTAAAAGATAAAATTTCTCTGCATGTGATTAAAGACATAGTCAAGATTGTTAGAATATTTTCAATTACTTTAATCTCAGTGCTTAATAAGCCACTCATAGCCATCACAGGTAAATATGGTGAACACAAAGCAGGATTAAAAGTGAAGGGAAAAAAATAAAGGCTTTTGAGATCAATCATGCTCCCTACTGAAAGCTGTGATTTGATACTCCAAGTAGAACAAGTTGCACAGCAGTCAGCAGTGTGTTCACTGCACTGTGATTTTCCTTAGGCCAAACTTAGTGGGAAAGAGTTTTTGCCATGTGCAGCTGGCCTTCTTTAACACTTGCTGAGGCCACTGGCATATTCACTTTGATGCTCCAAGAACATCTTGAGAGCAGATTTCAAGCTCCAAAGGCACTAACTTAAGCAAAAGCAAGCATACAGCTTCATACAGACTGTTGAAAAGCGAAGAGCATTTTTGCTAGTTGAAAATTAGCAGGCAAACTGTTCAGTGCTTAGAGATTTGTTTTACCCACAACAACCATCAAAACAGCCAACTAACAAAACTACATAAGCACATCTGCCTTTATGGCACTCATCATAGCATAACTGGCTAAGCAACAGTACTGAAGACAATGTTTTTACTATACCTTAACAGGCCTACAGCTTTTCAGTCAAATCACAAGTAGCATTGGATACTTCCAGCACAGCTCAGAGCAAGGAAAATCACCCTTAACTGTTTCAGCATTCAATATCTGGCAGAAAAAAAAACCAAATTGATTCAAAAGCTTTACTGGAAGGAGATAAAAATGACATAAAATGAAGTGGTCTCAGTAAAGTTGCAAAAACCACGCAAACAGCCCAGAGAGGCAAACAGTAGAAGAATAAGCAAGTCATCAGCAGCAGCAACGTTTCTGGCTCCTGTAACTGCCTGCAGATGCTGCCATCCAGTGCTACAGGATTTTAATAGAAGCACATCTTTTCCACTTGGCCTGGTCCAGAAAGTCCCTTTGCAGCCCTGGGATTTCTCCACTAAAACTGCTCTGCCTTTTCTTTGCTCCCAGTCCCACCCCCTATCTGCAATAAATCTCAAGCCATCCAGATAACTCTGTAATGTCAAAATCTTTGTCCTGTGTGGAAGGTGTTACTGGTTGCTGGTTAGGCACTGTAGATCTATATAGTGAAAGAATTGCTGTAAAACCTGCATCATGCAGTTACACATTCCTGTGCGTTCAGCTAAGGGTCTGCTCTAACTGCTGTAATATTCCTGAAGAGTACTGCTTTGCCTGGAAACGTGCTGCCACGTAAAAGGCAGTCACAAAAGAAGCACACAACTTAAAGCTACAATCACAGGAGTAAGATATAACTGCAGTCGTGTTCTTCTTCCCAGAATGGACCCAAATTCACTTTGCATTGCTCCCCGGCTTCAGCTCACCTTTATCCCAGCCAAGGAGTAAACACATTGGTCTCTTAGAGAAACAGCACCCAGAGTTATTCAAAAGAGAACATAGCCCCAACATAGGTTTGTTTTAGAAAAGCAAGATAAAATTTAGAGGTTCATTTCATTTCAATTTGAAGCAAAACATAACAAGCATTTCAGCTTTCAGACAGATTGAGTTTACTAAACAAGTGGCACTTGCTTTTTCAATTGTGCCATTGTCCAGGAAGCTTTCTGCTTCAGTACAAATCAGGCTGTTTACTGAGTAGCTGGAATCTGCCAGCAAATGGTCTGTGGATCACCACAGATATATCTATGCAAGTTAAAGCATACTAGGAAAAAAAATGTCATGCATTATTCCCAAGGGTTTCACTGAATTCTCACTTAGCTGTAAACCTACTGTTTAAGTCACAGCAATGATATGGAATTTTCTCTATTTTAGTTCTTTCAGGAGTGATGTGGCAGCAGTGAAGCTTCCTGGGCTGAATTAACAGGACCAGCTAGCAGACAAGAAGAAGTGATTATTCACCTACCTTTAGTGCTTGCTATACCACATCTTGCCTTTTCAACCAGGCTTACTATGCATCTGTATGTGGGGTTAAGTTCAGTAGCTGGCCACCAGAATGATCAGAGCTGAAACTGTGTGAGAAGGAGCTGGCAGAATGGGGCTTGTTCAGCATGGACAGAGATGATTTTGATGAATTTAAATTTAGAAAAGATGATCGATGGGAGACCTGACAGCAGCCCCTTGAGAAGATGGAGCTGGTCCCTGCACAGCAGTGTATGACTGGAAGACAAAAGACAACAAGCATCAGCTGGAACAGGAGAGCTTCAGCCTGAATGTAAGGAAAATCTTTTTACCCTTCAGGACAGCTCAGCAGTAGAGAGCAAGTTGCCCAGAGAAGTTCTGCTGTTTCCAGTCCCAAGGAGTTTCCAAGATGTAATATGATAAAGTTCTGAGCAATCTGGTCCAACACCACAGCTGACCCCACTTGGAGCAGGACCAGGACGGGCTCATCTGTTTTATTTGGACTGTGGTGCCTGTGCCTCTCACTGCCACCCTCATCAACCTCTTCAACCACCCTGTTTTCTGCAAGCCACTGCAACAACGCTTCTGACCTCTGCTTGCTGTGAAGTTTTCTTGAGTTACATGAGATTAAAGAGCAGAATGATGGCCACTCTCACATCATGTTGTAAACGAGGCCCAAATGCAAACAGCATTTGAGTGGAAAGACTGTTGGATTTTTCTTCAACTTTCATACAGCTTTCGTAACTTTTTTTTTGTCATAACCAAACTCCATCTGCATGTGTTTGTTCTTAGGCCTGGTGCTCTGCAGTGATGAAGTGGACGTGTGCTAAGGCAAGATGGCAGTAGAGAGAAATTAAAACTAATCCTGAAATGAAGTTACTGATTTTGAAGCTGTATCAACAACTAAAACTGACTAATGCATGTAATTGATTTCATTAATTGCACGATGTTAAAGTAACAGCAAATGAGTTCTGCTCAGATACCCTCGCCCACACTAAGGGAGTTAAAACCTACAGTGCAGGGTTCAAAGTGCACGAATACAAAAGAACGCAAAACGCAGGCATGGCTCAGCCTGAGTTCCTGAGTTCTGTTTTCTCACTCCAAAGACTGAGGCGGGAATTTATTTTGCTGAAAATCTCTAGCACTGAGAAATATACAGTACATGTGAAGTTCTGCACAACTAATCTTACTAAAGATAAATAAATAAATGTAAATTACATTGAGTGGAGCCCACTATATATAGTAGTAAAAAAAATACTCTCCTGTTCAACGGTACTTGTTTGTTCAATGGTGTGACTGCAGCACGCATGCTGAAACAGTGAAAAAATATATACAGAAATGCTCCAGCCTTGCAGGAAATTCAAACTGAGCAGATCTAGGAAATCCATCACGATTTTGAAGAGCATTGCAGTGCCTTGCACACTCAAATGATGAAATAATCTCCTAGCCATTAGTCTGGGAGAACTGACTTAGTAAGCCAAAGACAGCGAGCTACATAAAAAGTTGTCCTTTGAGAAGTACAAGTATTTTCTTCCTTTTTTCCTCCTGAAGATGCACTGACAATCACCCCCAAAACAACTGTGATAACCAGGAAACCCCAGTTACAACGGAACGTACAAGCTCCGACTCAGAGGCCTTGTTGACAAGAACTGTAAAAGCAATGCTTGAGAATAAAACGCTTACAAACTCAAACTTTCTTCGTTTTCTGACAGCTTGTAGACAGACGGTGCAAAATAAGGCACTATCATCCACTTCTTTTTTCAAGCCTGAAGAAAATGAGAAGGAACGGAAATTGGAACAATCCGTATCAGTCTGTAGGAGGTATGAGCACCTACTGTGAGCCGCACTTCACAGGAGCCAGCGCCATTGAAATACCAGATTGTTCTTCTTTGACTTGCAAACTTGAATCCCCTCTGGTGAGGCAGGATGGAAATCAATGGAAGAAAGGGGCTCCAGAAGAAAAGAATCCCAGGAAGCGGGCTGAGGAGCCTCTTGCTGAGCTGCAGTCTTACAGCGCCGTGTGCTCCCATGGAGAGCCCGATAAACAGAGCCGCTCCGGTGGCGTCACCGGCCGTAGGCAAAACACAGAAGTGACGAAGCAGAGCCCGCTCTCAGACGACCGTAATTTCAGCCGTAGTTTCCTTGGACTGTAGCGAAACGCTGCCGACACTGACTTTAATTGCTGTGAACAAATTTAACTTACTAAATTAAAATAGACCTGTCTTCAAAGCCTGCGAAGTCAGTTCAACTCCTTTCCTATCACAGAGAATCTGAGTCCTGATTTAGCATTAGACGCCTCGAATCTTCAAAGCTTCAGCTACAATCTTTGCCCACTTCTGAGATATTTAGCTCCTTTCCGCGTTCAGTTCTCCCTAACTTCTGGGCGAGACTCGCAGCAGGGAAAGAGGAGAGCTGGGGGGCCACACCTATCAGACTACTCCATTAAATGAGCAAATAGAACATAATTCCTTGCCTGATCTCATTACAGCTCTGTCAACACCTGGAGCAAAAAATACACCTTCACAGAAAGGCGTATTGTCCTTTCAACGCCAGTCTTCAGTAGGACACTTTCATCTCAGTCCCTTGCTCGTTTCCAGGCGCTGCTTAGGAAGGGCGGGAGGGATAGCCCTCATTTGGGTAACAACTGGCCGCACATCTCAGCTGAGCACCGGAGATGGTCTGGCGGAGGGATGTGAGCATTTTCACGCAGGCTGCTCAGCTATCAGATCAAAAGAAAGCGTTTTCAAAACTATCTCCCACCCCCTCATCCTGCTCTTAGCTCTCCGAGGGAGATCTGGATTGCCGTAGTTTTCACTTCTTTCTCCCCTCCATCCCCATAGGGGGAGAATACAACAGCTCTCACCCGGCCCTGTGGATACAGCGCGCAAACTCAGTCTTGGCCCTTTTTCATGTGTTGTGGCCATAGACGAAGATAATACAGGACAAGGGTGAGTGATTCCCAGCGCTGACAGCTGACGTTTGAGGTATCTGTAGAAATTCACCCAACGATAAAGGAGTTTACAGACGCTGTTATTACCGTGTGTGCTGCAGTAAGGAAATGTTTCCCGAGAATTCTTTAGGACTTTCTTCCCTACATCGCAGTCATGAAGCACAAGAAATCTACGTGGCTTGAATTTCCTATCACTGCAAACAACAGCTTCTGAGCAAGTAAATAAAAACAAGCAGTTACATCTCCTTCTATAAAATGAAGGCAGAATGTGATACCAATAGCTTCATTTTTAAATAATGTCAACTTTTTTAAAGAATAAAATCAAGGAATCTTTCTACTTTGCATTTCAGTTACCTAACTTGTCACTGGTTTTCCTGGAATAAAGTATACACAAGGGATGGAGAAAAGTCTTCCAGAGCAGAACACAGTCCTTATGATGGAAGGAAGAGCAATGGAAGAAAAGACATACAACACATCTGTTTTTACCAGAAAATCACCTGGATAAAGCCACTTGATTTGCAAATTGGTTTCAGTTGAGCTTCCAGAGACAGAAATCAAACCATGAGAACATCCCTTCAACATCAAATGTCTGAGAAAAGGAAATGCACAAAGAAACATTTGATAAAAGAAATGGAGAGAACTCTGACTTGTAAGAAGCCCCTTTGGGTATTAGTGCAGTGAGAGGCAAGATAATAGGGAAAATAGTGTAATTCATTTACCAGAATAAATTCCATTTGGACTTGGCCTACCAAACTATGTCTGAGAAAATAGGTTACTGCAAAGTAGAAGGTGAAAAACAAATGAATCAAGGAATCGCAAGTAGTACAAAACTTAACTATAGTAAGAGAGAATATTTCCTTACATATGTAGAGATATTACATCTTTTTAGATGGAACCCAATGGGTAGGACACTGCTTTTTATAATACCTCTCTGGATTAACAGATAAGAAGTCAGTGGACCTCACACAGGAGCAGATGCAGAAAGTTGCCAGAGCCCAGAGAAATGGGATTGAATGAAGAAGTTGAAGAGTCAGAAAACAGGGTTGAGACAGAAAAGAGTATTCTCTACAAACTGTTGGGAAAGAAAGATGAATACCATGAAGAAGGAAAGAAAATTAAGAAAAAGTATGTGATATAAACTAAAGCCAATGTAAAGAGAAGCGTAAGCAGTTTTAGATGGCCAAGGACAACACAGGCTAGACACCAGAAATGTTAACAGTTTTGAAACAGGTGATGAATTCCTCAAGTCTTCCAATGGGTGACAAATTCATGCTTTGAGAAAGAATTCAAAGCTGCTTTTCTCACTTGAAGAACTGCTGGTTCTTGTGATGTAACGCTATCCAGTTCTGCTCAAAGAAAAATATACTTCTGCCTTTAATTCACCCCTGGGCAGAAATGATTACCGAGCTACACTCAAGGAAGAAATAATAAAACTCTCAAATATGACAATAATGAAAATCCCTACTGACCTTTGGAAATCAATTTGGAATTCAAGGATTTGTTCACACTTCACCAAGTACCAAGTTGTTACTGTGGTCTGAACAGTTACAAATCTTCATTTCTGCAGCTTCTACTCAATCTCAGTTTACTACATTTCTGGCTTGGCTGCTAATGCTTACAGGCTGTTAGGGAAAAGTGAATCAGATTAAAAAGTTAAAGCGGATACCTGAGCTGAAACAAAGCAAGAACTACACTGCTTGCTTATCACTTAGAACTTAGCGTCTCCTACAATCATCTTCCAAATAAGGCAATAGTTAATGGTGTAGAAGATATAGAAACCACCCAGAAAAATCCAAGATCTACAAAAGCACCACGGTAATGCCTTCTGCCACCTAGGACCAGTCAGAAGAGAACAGCCTTACCGGATCCTCAGAGGATCAAGTCAGTACAAATTCTTAAGGACCAAGGGGTGAAACAGACCCAAGTGTTAACAGACTCAGCATACCGATGTTCGTTCCCCCTCCAGGAATGCCAACAGTAAAAAGGGCTTTACTGACAAAAAACAATACCTCAGATAAAAACTGAGGAGCTCTAGGGCAGATATCCTATTCAATAGCAGAAATGTATTCAATGCAATCACTACATTTCAGCAGTCAGTAGTCTAGCAATTGTACCTTTTATATATTAGACAAATCCGTTAATTGCAGCCTGGCCTCATTAGACTAGAAACATCACTAGTGCAATTAACTGAATATGAACAAATTGTAGGTAATAAACAGAAATAATGGCTAAATATGATATTCACCAGTATTACCTTAAAAATACTCACCAATTTCTTCCCGAGGTTATTTTGTCATTGTTGTTCCTATTGCCAGATCTGATGGCATGTTCTCTGTGTATTCCATTAACATTAATAAATGAAAATGAAAGGGGGGACCAAACAGCTACAGCTGCAGTACATCATCTGCCAAACTCAATTTTTTTCATGTGAATAATTATATACTTAAGGTATCAAAATAAATATTTCTCAGCCTGGTTTCATCTTAGATCTTTCATCAATTTCTCTTTTCTGTATTTTCAGAAAAGCTGTAAAAGATTACTTTGAAGCTTCTTTTTCGTCGACATTTCTAGCAGAATTAAGGCTACGGGAGCTGCTGAGATCAGAGCATCACATCTGTATTAGGTAAGAAAATACTTTCCCTGTCAGGCAGCCTCCAGTGCTGCACCCTCCACCTTTCCCTGCCCCGTGGCAGCACATGCTGTAGCTGTTTCTCAGGTATCTTGGTGCTGAGTCAATCTGTAACATCCAGCGTCAGTGATTCAGTCTAAGCATCATCCTCTGTCTAAAACCATTCATGACGAATGAAGGTGAATTAGTCTTCCACTGGTTACGAACGCACCTTCCAGATAGCTTGAGCATCACTCTCCAGACAGTCATCTGCTCCAGGAAACAACATAATCTGCATAAAACCTAAAACAACCTGCTTTCTATAGAATTTTTCCCGTGCCTACACTGTAACAACTCACCAAGTCACACCAATCTGGTTTCAAACCAGGCCACTAGCAGCTGAACCCTGGTTTGTGCAGACATCTATATTGCAGAAAGGCTGTGGTAGCGTTGCTCTGCTTGCTCCCTTAGTTTTCCAGCAGCCCAGCTGCAGGACTTCAGCCTGCCAGGATTCACAGCAATGCCGCTAATCACAAAATGCCACACAGGCAGAAGTCACCTGCTCTGAGTGTGGTTTGGCTCTTGCAGCAAATAAAGTCTCTGATGGCAGCTCAAGCTGCCCCACTCAGTCAACCAGAAAGGATCTCACCTTTAGGATAACACAGGCAAGCAGCAACGATGATAAGCAACAGTCAGGAGAGGAAATAAATTCAGTGGCACAAAAGGGCTGCCTGCTCCAGCCTGTGGAGGAGTATCATCTGCAGCCACTGCAGTCTGCCCTGCCCCAGCTCTCCCATCCTGCTGCTCCAGCATGGGGCTCTCTTCCTGCTGGAGGAAACTGCCTCAATTTTGCACTAAAATTTCAACCAGACAAAAGACTCCCTCTTCCCATCTCACTGCTGTGTTTTCCTCCCCCAAAACATGGCTCTCACCCTGTCTCAGGTTACTTTGTGCTTTCAGGAAGTGAGGCCCCAGCTGAGGAGGCAGGCAAGTCCCAAAAGGGCTGCAGGCCACGCTTCAGCATTAGTCTTGCTCTGCACATTTTTACTCATTCATTCCTGACAGACAAATCTGCATAGTGCCTCTTCTTGTTTACTGGGGAAAACCCTTACCAGGCAAGGCACAGACACTGCTCACTTTGGAATACGGGGGACCTAAAATGGACTATTTCCTTTTTCTCAGACTTCAAGTAAAATAAACATCTGAATGAATTCACTGCAATGTACCATCCCCCAGCTCCACCAATTCCAAGCCCCGCGGTTACTATCCATTGTGTAACCCATGTAAGTCCCTTCTCATGCTGTGCATCATTATAACCAAAATCACAAGGTTGAAAATACTGACTGCACATTCCTTGTGAGCGTATCCATGGATGACCAAAGGATGTGTAGATGTGCTGCAACCAACGTCCTCTCCTTGGTTTAAGGACAGATTTCCTCCTTGACCCCCACCTCCAACAAAAACCAAGGGGTCATTGGCTTGATTTCCTCACTAAGGTTTTCAGCTGTTTAGTGATACAATACAAGCAAGGCTCTCTTGTATCAGAGAAGATAATTACAAGTTTATCTCTGTGGGAAGATACTTTAAGGATATGCTCAAATTGTTTGTTTCTTGTCATTTTGTAACATACAACATGAATGATCCAATTGCTACTTTATGTTTAAGGTAATATACTCATTAAAAGTACTTCAACTTGCTTGAGTAGCACTTGGATAAAACAAGGCATGGGGAGACCATCTGAAGATCTCTAAATCTTAAACTCTTAAGCTGAAAGCTAACACCCCATCTCCCCATCAGCACATACATTTTACTGGCACACAGTGGCAACCAGCTAATTCTGCTTTGATGCTGCTGTGTGTGCACAGGTCTGTTTTTCAGTATGTTGTGTTGGTCTGAGAGTCTTTTTGAGACCAGTACCATTACCTCCAACGGCTCATTGCTATTACATGTGCGATTTCTGTTCTTAATTTTCAAATCTGTTGGCTCCTACCCAGCCTCGCTAAGAAGGGACCAGAAATGAAGGGCAATGTTCACCATCTGCTTCTGCCCTTGCAGGAATGTAACCAGATGACCCTCTGTCAAGAAGACCAAAAAACAGTAAATCAGGGAAGAAAACCGATATACAAACTTTTGTATAACATTAAAAAAATAAAATGCAAGCAACTAACAAAATGAACTACTACTCTAAAAATATTTGCTGAAACACAGAGGTGGGAAAGGGGGGGGGAGTGGAAGGGGGAGTTCAGGCTGGCATTCACTCTGTTCCTCCTTTTCACTCTCTCCTTCTCCCTAGACACGTTCATGACAAAATACGCACAATGCAGTCAGCAGGATCCTTTCACTTGTGCCCTGCACTAGACTAAGGAAAAATTATCTGGGAATCTGATATAGATAGTATTTCTAAGTAGGACATCATTAAAGTATTTAAACAATAGGACAAAATAAAGCTGACACGTCTGTGAGTAGTGGGAGTGTAATTGGTACAGCACTGCAAGGACTAGAGGAAAAACTCTACCAATCTAACTTCATACCCAGCACACACACACACACAAAAAAACAGCAATAAACAAATGGACAGTATCATAATGCCCTGATAATGAATAATAATAGCTTAAAAAAATACTGTGCTCATTATTAACATTACTAGTAATACTATAGTGAAAAATACTTTACTGTAATTGCTTTGCAGTGCAATACATCCAGTGAGTCAGAGCAGACAGAAACATAGATTCGTTGGGAAAACACTGGCAGTTCCAATAGCCAAATAAAGGTATTTATTATTTATGCTATTTTTATTGTTATACCACATGGCAACATACAAATTCCAGTTGAATTTCTATTTGAACCATTTCTGTTTTCTTAAAGTGCACTGCCTGTGCCTACCTACGCTTTTCACAACCAGTGGCCATAAGACTCAGTTACTAAAAATTATATTTCTAAATATAAGCTGTACAAAACAAATGCACTCCAGATTTAAAAATCTGACCTGGGTACACAAAGATTACAGAAAAGACAAAACACATTTTGTGCACGTTCCTGATAAAGTTTTCAGAGAAAGTTTACTGTTACATAAATCCAAAGAGATACTCACACAGTATGGTACTCAGCAGAAAGATGGGCTGAAAGCCATTCTCTCTCCCAGAGCAGTTATTCCAGCATGAATATTGAAAAGATGTTATGTCCATGAACCAGGCTTTATAAAGCTACATTTTGAAATGACTCAATTGTAAGTGCTGGATCTGTGGAAACCTGCGGTCAGCAGCACAAGTCCAACTAACTTTGGCATTCACCCTTCGGGGCTCCACAGGCTGAGTAGGACACAGATTAAACAGAACTACAATTGGGAAGTGACTCTGGAAGTGCCCATGTGCTACAGCTACAATACATTATCTGTCCCTTATCTTCCCAGCAATCCCCAGCTCTCCAAAAAGCTTTGAGAAAAATTCAGGTATTAGTTTTTTTGCCACAGTTTCTGTGTTAACTCTGAATCAATGCAATTCTACCTTTATTACCAGGGCAAGCAAAGGAGCAGTATGAGAGTCCACTCCACTCTAGAACACTTTGCATGCAGCTGGATCACAGGAACTTTCTTCTCAGCTTTATTCACGGGCATCCATTGGCCTGAGAATCACTCTTTTAGGGTTCATGTCATCAATTTAATCATTTTAGAGAAATACAAAGGGGAAAAAAAAAAATATATCAATGAACTGACATCAGAACCTATTTAGCAATCTGGTGTAGCAGTGCTTTCTGTAGAGAACAAGGCACTCCTAGATCTGCTACTTCACAAAGCACTTCTGTGATGATTTCAAAACTACAAATAAATTGTATGTTTCAACAATATGAGAGCTAAGATTTGCCTCTTTGGCTCTTTGACCAGCCAGCAACTGTCACCCAGTGATACTCAGCAGTGCAAAGCCTGTGAGGGGTGAAGTGTGGACATTAAATGCAAAAACACTGTTCAAAATTGAAACAGATAAGATTGCCTCTCCAAATCCCACCAATGATACTCCATTAAATTTCTCTAAGAACTACTTACGTTCCTGGGAATGTTACCCAGAGGCTTTAGGTAACGACCAGCACAGGTGCTATGTATACACAGAACCTTATACCACTTGGTGAGGTTACTTTAACACGCTGTGAAGTTGTCTGTCCTTCCTTAGATTGTTCTTCAGGAGACCGGTCAAGCTCCGTGTAGGCTTTTTTCCCCTTTATTCTTTAACCTTTCATTTTCCTTCCAACATAAATGCAAACTGTACATAACACTGAAACACTGTTACATCGAGCAATATAGAACAAGATTACACTCATTCGAGTACTGTTTTTTAAATACTGTAGAAAATCTGTGTCACTAGCAATTATCTCACAAAATGATGCCTGTTTGAGGTGACAGCTGCTTTTATATCAGCCATGTAAGGAAGAAACAAAAAAACAGCAAGAGATTTCAACAGAAATTTCACAGTGCATCTGAAGTTCTTGTACTCTAAAAATCAATCTCTTGCACGTTCAGATGTTCTACTGAAAATTCATGAAAAAAAACTATTTCCAGCTTGATCCTTTCCTCAATATTTTAAATGGTGCTCAATGCTAATGATAGACACTGTCAGTCTGTACAAAGGACAAGGTGAAAAATGAGTACAAAAGAATTTGTTTTCATTATATTTGCATACCAGCTGATGCTTCTCATAAGATTAATTTACAACTATCTTCACTCTTAGATGTTATCTCAATTCATAAAACATGCATTTTCTGTGTACTTGTATGGAATAATTAGTGTTTTTATATCAACTCCCACTTTAGTTTAAACAGTTAATGTTTACTCAACTGAAATGAGGGAGGGGGAAGTTTATGCATGTTATCATAACAGAAAAGAGATTTCACTCGTCTGACTCCAGAAGAGCCAAGAAAGGTAAGTGACAAAAGCACCAGCTTTGATTTTTTGAACGTAAATTCAGGCATTTTAATGTGATTCTCAGAAAAGCCACTTGAGCTTACTCGAGCTTTTATATAAGAATTCATAAACATTATGGCACTTAGACTCTCCTAAACAGGTATTTAGCTACCTAGGCCACCCAGGCTTTAAAAAAAAAATATATATAAAATTAACCAATTCTGTAATAAAACACTCCTGCCCAACCTTGAAAATCCTGAAGTTTCCTGGAAGTGGAACCAAATTCCAATTGCTCATGTTTCATATCTCTTGAGTAGATTGCCTTCGACAAATGTCAAGTTACATTTTAAGTTTCGGTTTCTGATTACTTACAAACATCAGGGAAAGGCAATCTTACCCACTTGCATCAAAAACCGTGTCCTGCTCCTTAGGAATTATAACATGGCATAGATACTTATGTTTCCTTATTATTTTGCTGGACTAGAGCATTTGAAGTAATTACACATACTAGGAAAGAAGTCCAAATTTAATTAGAGTTGGCTTACAGTGGTAGCATTTTCTCCATGTAAGGCATTATTCTGACACTTACTGGCCTGGCATCCAACCATACATATTAATACACCACATTTGTTGTTAAAAAGGAGCATATATATTAATCCAAAGGTAAGAACAATTAAAGAAACACAAACGACAAACATTAAAACAGGCCTGTGTTTTCATATAAATCTCACAGCCCCACCAGTATTTTGGTAGGTTTCTATTGCTTTCTTAACTCATACTTAACTGAACTACTGTATATCATGAAGCTTGAATACAAGCAGCTTTTGGGAAGTTACATTTGCAAAGGGAAAAGAAAATGGTGACAAGTAAAAAAAAAAAAAAAAATCCAAGAAGCTCTTTAAAAAAAAACAAAAAACTTTACTGGCAAAATGAAGCAGCATGCTATTTTGTGATTGATATTTGAATTTAAAAAGACTAATTAGGCTGAAATAAAAATAAAAACCTAAAAATGGCATTCTATAAATAATGAAAATTTTGATTTCACTGGACTTTTATGAAAAACATTTGGTAATTAAATACTTGCTACTATGTATTACGGTGATGAACTTTATTAGGGCTAAAACTGTAACAAAGCTCATCCTAAAATATTTTGCAATGCAAAATTATTTTCACTCAAGGAGTGTCTCAAATTGAATGCTAAGAATTACAAGCAATCTCCAGAAGCAGACATCCACTTTCATAAAACTTTATACATCTTTTTGGAACTAAGATATTTATACTACTAAAATCAAACATGCATCACTTCCCATACATTCTGGTATCATGATTTTATATTACATTATGTAACACCATTCTTCTAAACAGCAGCAGTTTTATCATACACTTGCTCCATTTTCTTTGGATTTCTGATCTTTATCTTCGCTTTTCACAGTATCCTTTAAAAGAAAAAAAGGGAGAAGACAACCTGAGTTCTGGGAGTAACACTTGTCACATTAACTGTAAAGCAGTGCGAGACAGATACAGTTTGGTTTCAACTTAAGAAGAACTTGTAATTCTGTATATTACTAAGTTTACTTATAACCAATTCAAGTTTCTCATATCTTCCTGAAAAATGGAGGGAACAAATTAAATCTGACTGACCTACCTATAAAAAAAGCACACAGCCATCCCCAGAAGCTTTGCTTTATTTTTATTTTTTTCTTTCTAATGAATAAACAAAAACAGTTTTGATCAAACCCATTAAGTTATGGTAACATGTAGCTCTAACACGGAATACCTGATTTGGCCTGAAAGCATGAGGCCACTTAGCTCTGAAGTACTGGGCAGGATGACACCAAGGCTATTGAACTGTACCAACTGTACAGAATTACACAGCACCTTTAGTAGCCAGCTCTGGCAGAGCAATGGGTCTACTATGGGCACACAGTGAGGTGCAGCACTGTCTAACAATACTGATGGTAGTTTGCTGCAAGTTACAGCCATTTTAATAAGCTACAGTGCCTTATCTGATGCACTACTTGTATCCTACGAGGAGACAAACGTCAAACATTTGGCAAGTTTCTATACTGACAGAAGCAGTAGCTAGGCACCCTCACAGTACCAGTTTACCACTGAGCTGCCCTCATCAGCTACAGCTGTTCAGCCTTACTCATAGGGTCCCCACAGCATTTCCAGGGAATATGATGCAAGTAACTTTCCATATAGGATGGAGATGCTCTGGAGCATCAAAATACCTACATTCTGCCTTGAAAAATTACTCTTATCAAATAAAACAGCAGATTTGGATTATTGGAGAAAGACAAGATCAGATCACGAAAACATTATGATTGTTTGAAATTTATAAAATTTCTCATATTTAAGTCAGGAGAAATTTGTGTTCCCATTGCACTTGTTTTCTTTAAAAAAAAAAAATAAAATAATTATCTCTGAGCCTCTAATATACACTGAGACACCACTGCTCTGGATTCACGTGAATTTTCAATTTTATTTTAAAGGGTTTGTTTTGAAGGTTATATTTTCTTTTCAACCACATAATTTTAACCATCAAAAATGAAAGTAAAAAAATTCGAACCTGCTTAAGCACACTCTGCATTTCATCCATAACAGTAGCTAAGTTTTTGATTGTCTTATTCAGCTGACTCTCAAATTGCAAATTTTTCTCATCTGAGATCTTCAAGTTCTCTTGCAGCTGGCTAAGGTCCTTTTTGACTTCTTTGAGCTCCGCAGTCAGACTTTTGTTAGAATTCTCCAGCTGCAGTATGGTCTTTTCATCCTCATCTTAAAAAAAGAAAGTAGTCAGTTACTTCCAACGCCACATTTTGCACTCTAATATTCCATTTACAAGCCAACACCTAAATATTTTTTGAAAGAAACCTTGAAGACTGCATTGGATTACCATTTATCACATTGAATTCTAACTACACTTCAGAGCCTTATGGCAAAGCATGGCAACAAACTGTACTTCAGCTATTACTGGTGTGCAAGTACAAAGGACTTGGAACTCAGAAAATATGAGAGTTAATAATATACAAAGATCTAAGAAATCTAGATAACAAATTAGTTGATCTACTAAAAAAATTCATATCTTGCATTCATGTAAGTACCATCTTCAAAGCAATGTCACACCTGTTTTTTCTTCCAGCAGCTGAAGCTTTTGTTCTATCTCTGCCCGAACTCTTTCGCTCTTCTCCAGCTTCTGTAAAAGGCTCCCAACATCCACCATAGCTCCATTGTATACAATAAGGCCAACATTTTCTTCTACAGCTTTTGATTCTTGCTTTACTGTAGGTGATGGCAACAGCAATCTGTTTCCTAAATTAGATTAATAAATAATCCTTGGCATTTTTTGGTCACAGTTTCAGTGATCAACCTCCAACTTCCTACATCAGTTTAAAAGCACCGTTCCATACTAACTTCAAGAGTCACCGCCTTTAACATTACAGACAAGTTTTTATGATGTGGTCTCTTCCCACATGGAGAAAAAGAATAAAGTTTATTTCAAGCCATTCTTCTTTTCCTCCTTGCAGTAATCTGTCTTAAAAGCAAACAAAATAACCAGAAAACAACACACTCTGTTCTACTACCTACAGTACTGATCCCCCTGACTGCAGACCTACTGTGAACGAGTTACATGTTGTTAATCAACATCCCACTTCTAACTTCTATCCCTCCTTCCTGTTCCAGGACCCTGAGACTCATCCAGTAAACACAGTGAAGCCTGAGGGAAGCCAGAAATACAGAAATTTAGGAACTGCTGAACTGCCAAGATTTACTTTTCCAAGATCTGCAGATCTGAATTAGTTACCATAAGGAAGCAAGCAACTCACAACTCTCAAAACATTCACACAGGAACAATCAGTTTCAAAAATAAAAAAGCATTACCTAACATATCTTCTTGTAGTTCTTCTGATTCTTCTTGGTTTTCCTCATCTTTAGAAGTATCTGTTAGTCTTCTGTAAAAGCAGGACTCTCTAAGTACTACCTTATTAAGTAGCTTCTTGACCTAAAACACAGGAAAGAAGTATGGGATTAATACACAAATTAAGCTACTTAAACAAGAGTGTTTTAACTTGAAAAACTTAACTAAAGAAACTGCACTACTTTTCGAATTTTAACATACTGGGGTTTGAAATGAAAACAAGCTAGGAAAAGATGCAAAACCTGAGCACGAGACAGGTGTAGTCCAAGAGTGTACAGTATCTCCTCCATGTCCTTCTCCAGAAGATACCCACAGTGACTTTGGTCAAAATAAACAAAAGCCATCAGAAGATCCCTATTAACAGTTACCATCTGTGTCTTGTCTTTCTCCTGCAGAAAATTCATATTGGGATCATTAGGAAGTCAAAAATACCATGTTCACATCCTATACCAAAAAATAAGTGCACGTTTCAGATAACTGATGTTTACCCAGTTCATTATACTATGTTCCTTTCATTGTTTCCTAGAGAAGAGGGATTAATACAGCTAATATTTACCTACTGAACTTAAATACAATATAAGCAAGCTATTTAGGAAGACCATTCTTTTAATTATTTAGAAGACTTGCAGCACAATGAAAAGAAACACCTGGCAGCCAGCTACATTTGGTCCAGACTAATATGTCATGCATATGACATTCATTTTCAAAGTTTGAAAAAACAGTAAAAAAAAATCCTTATTTCCCCAGCCAAAGATTTCATTGAAGAGCCATTCCAAAACAAAGTCCCTGTAAGCACATAATGAATGAACATTCACAGCTCTCACAGGTAAAACAGTTCTACCATCTGTTCTTCCCCCTTTATTTCTGTTCTTTACCTCCTAATTTCCATTGGGGAAAATAAAAGGGTTGGACACTTTATTTTAGCATTTATAAGGAAAACTCAAGCATAACAAATCTAACCTATGCTATTCCTTAACCTTAAACTATGGAGGCAAGATTAAAAAAAAAAAAAAAGCCACTTTTTTTTTTTAATGTAAGAATGCAGCAACAGAAAACCACAAATAATCACCTGCCTCTCACATGTTCAGACAAATCAGTTCAAATTTATACAAGATTCTTTTCCCCAAGAACTTTTATCCAACAATCTTCAATACATAGATTAAAGCATCTTATAGGCACCTTACCCCAAGCTGTCACACCTCTTTACAAGTTCACTTTAGAAGTGATGAAGTAATCAAGAGTGTAAATAGAATGAAAACAAAGGTAAACTCTGATTATAACATCTTTATACAAGATTGATTACATGAAGTTAAGAAAGATGTTAATTACTTTATCTTTAGACGACCTCTCTTTACAATGCTTATTTCCCTCTCTTCTGTCCTCTCGTTTATTCATTTCTTCTTCTTCCCGGTCTATAAGACAGAAAGAAAATTCAACATTCCCACAGTAAATGATTCAATAAACATTATCTCAAAAATACATTTCATTAAGAAGTTCACATAAGCCCTCAAACATCTGAAAACATTATATTTCCCCCCCAAAATGAAAAACAAATGACATTTATTAGGGAGAACTCCTTGTGGCCTTCCAGTACTTGAAGGGAACTTACAAGCAGGATGGAGAACAACTTCTTACACGGTCTAAAAGTGACAGGACAAGGGTGAATGGCTTTAAACTAAAGGATGGCATTTATGTTAAATGTCAGGAAGAGATTCTTTGCTCAGAGGGTGATGAGGTGTTGGCACTGCTGCCTAGTGCTGTGGGTACATCACCTCTGGAGGTACACAGTGCCATGCATGGGGCCCTGGGCCAGCCCACAGCAGGAGTTGGGGCTCAATTATCTTTAAGGTGCCTTCCAACCCAAGGCATTCTATGACATGATTAAATCACTCCTTGTAGGTGTTGTCCTCATCTTAACTCTATTTTAACCTAAAACATTTGACTATTTTATCCTGTAGATTCTTACTTATCACACACACAGGATAGAAGAGCTGAAATAAATGCTAACCAGACCAAAATCAGTTGTGCCAACATCACTATCTGTTTAAGTGGTGTGCAGAAAATTACTTCTTCCTAAAGAGGTTTGCCAAAGTCTACATTCAGCTATGGTTATTCCTATTAGGTAAAAAAAAAAAAAAAAAAAAAAAAAAAAAGTAAATCAGTATTGTTTACTCTTCAGTATTTTAGATTACATCATAAAAACAGTAACAACTGTGTATTAAAAACATGTTTGTACTCATGACTGACTGAGGTATGACTGGTGTACTTGATCCTGAACTTGAGAGTCTCAACATTACGGACTGCACTGCTTGCTAGATATGAAGCACCAAATGCAGTGGCTCTGTTTATTTGTTTTTAAAAGGTAAGACAGCACAGTGAAACTAAATCTAAAAGAAAGAGGAATGTGACAGCTACAGGGACGTATCAGGGCGTGCAGCTCCGTACCTCGCAAGTTTTTTTTTGTCACAGAATCACATGGCAGATTTCTTTATGAAACTGCTCACCTTTCTTGTGAGGAAAACTTTGAAAAAACTACATATGCAAACATTTTTCTAATTTTGCCAATACGTTTCTAACAACTACAAGCTTTCTCCTGCACCTCCATGGGAAGTTGGATCAGGTCTCACCAACTCTCACTGAGAATGGCACAAGGGCAGATAATGGGAAGTTGCAGTGCTTGTACAGAAGATTCCAGGACATGTGCTCAGGGGTCAGACTACAAGCAATGAGGAGTCATTTTGGAAAAATAAGAGATATAAGAGATCCAGGTTGGTGCAATATTTTTTGCTAAAAAAATATAACTTATTTTTTGCTAAAAAAATATAACTGAAAACACTCGCTAGAAAACACTGAAACTGCATATGTAAGCAAGTTCAAACCTATGTCTGATGAAAACCCTGTTTTGGCACCTTCCTCCACCTGAAAAGTACAAACCAAAAAGCACACAGCATGCCTTACATCTTCCTGAATCTCTGAGGTGGGAAAGAGGGCTACCTGCTGCTCGTGCAGACAGAAACACTCCCCAGTCCTTTTTCCCACTTCTTCAGGCAAGCCTAACTCCACTCAAAAAGAAATCAACTCCTTGCAGGTTCATAAAACATGTCCCACACTACATTCCAGTCTAATAAAAACAGGATGACATTTTACAGCTGATGAATATGAAGTTATGCACTTCAAAGTGGCTTGGTTTTTCAGAGGTGCTGAATACTCACATCTCCTACTGACTTCAATGGGAGTTGCGAGTGGTCTGCATTCTGAAAAAAATAAAACCACTTCTATATGCACGCCTTACCACATACCACAGCTACAGATTTATTTCAGCTATGTTAATAAAATGCTAGCAGAAGGGCTCATGTTAAGCAGCACTGGTCAGAATTACTGAAATAGAATTAGTGCAATAATGCACTTCCAGATTTCCAGTTTCAGTGCATTTTCCATCTGGAAAGAAAATCCGGAAGCCAAAAAATTCCCAAATACCTTCGTCTTCATCTTCAGCTTCTTCCGCCTCCATTGGATCATATTCTTCTTGATTATTATCATCTTCAGTTTCTTCTTCATCTTTGGAATCATCTTTCCTTTTCTCTTCCTTCTGTAACAGAAGTTCCTAAAAATTAATCCCGTCAGAACTGAAAAACAGCAAAGTTTAAAACATCACCCTAGCACTCATTCTAAATTTGAGTATGCTTGTGTTTAGTCACTTAAAAGCACAGACACTCAAATCTAAGTGGTAAAGGTAAATGAGGGGAGAGAGGGAGAGATGTTTAAAATAATCCTCAGATAAATCTGTAAAACTTCAGAATGACTGAATGAAACTTATTTAAACAGATTAACGGGTCAGATCAATGAAGTAACACTATAAAAACTCAGTTTGAGAACGCAACAACAAAATGAAAATCAAGTAATGGTTTAATATGGAACCAGACAGGATAGTACTTCAAATATAAGCTAATATAGACCTTCTTTTCATCTTTATCTTCTTTTTTATCTTTATCATCTCCAGATTTTCTTCTCTTAGGTTTTGGTTCATCATTTTCTTCTTCTTTTTCTTCCTTTTTTTCTTTTCGTTCATCTTTTTTGCTTTTTTTGTCTTTTTTGTCCTCCCTCTCTGGGAGGGAAATCAGTGCTTTATAAATTCTGACACCAAAATCCCTCTGAAGCATTTCATTGAAGAGTTCTGCAAACAATGAAACCTGCACATAAAGAATGAGAATTGACAAAGTTTCAATGCGCATATTAAATATTTTTACACTTCTGATTAAAAAAGTAACGAGGTGCTATCTGAATTTTCACCATGTCAGAGTTTCATGCACTTGATACTTCTTACCATCTGTTGTGCACATGCAAACCTTAAAGAACTTTATATTTCTCTCCTGTATCACAGTAGTTTAGGACCTACACTAGCTGTACAAATTATAATCTCTGTTCCTTCCGGATATTACACCTGATTACACTGCTATTATAAATCTACTACCAAACACTGGATTGCTTTTTCTAGGTCTTGCACAACAAAATTAATTTTACATTAAGCTTTACTTTATCATACTACCATGAATTTAAGAAAACCACCATTACCACAGAATTAAGAAGAAAGAATAAATAACTATAAACACAGGTGCACTTGCTAGGCAGCATTTCTTTCCTTCAACACAACATCACAATGCATAGCTCAATAAAAAGTTGCTTTAATATACTAGCACAGCTGAATTACCTCAAAGGAATGTTCTTTATTATCCTCCAACCTATAGTCCAGAAGAACACTGAGTGACATTATACTACAGTCAAACTTCCCACTCTTTGCTGCCCAGTTAGGATGCACAATGATGGCTGGTTCATCAGGCAAGATGTACCGTCTCTCTCGTCGCTGACGTTCCATTTCTTCCTGACGTTTTCTTTCCTCTTCCTGAAGAGGCAAAGAATAACACAAAGCATATTCCCAAAGTTGCAGCTTCTATCTATGTTAGATTTTAGGGCTCACTGCTTTGAAGAAAGAGAAGGAAAGCCTAAGACTGCTAAATGTAAGGCAGATAACCGATAGATAACAGAAATGACACCAGTACCCACAGAACGTATTCCACATCCATTGCCAACACAAGCCTAAGAGTGAAGATTGGAAACTTGAGCAACACAAAGCAGGACATGCCATGTTGTTTAAACCTCAAAGCATGAGCATCTTCCAACTATTTTGTGGTGCTAGGTGCAGCATGTTCACTCAATACTGGAAGGAACAGAACTAATTCACTTCAAAAAATGGTAGGTAAATCAAAGGAGTCAGAGATCCGGAGGAGCGTTTCATTTATTCTGAGCAGCACAGGGAAATCTCACCGTATCTTATTTCTCACATAGGAAGACTAAAGTTTATTTGATAATTTCCCAAAGTTATCCAGCACTGCTTCAACAACTAGCAGAAAATTTTAAACTCAAATTTTGAGTATGGGAAACGGAGTTTACAGAGACACCCTTACTGCAAATTTAAATAAAGGTTAAAGGTAAAATACCAAACAGCTTATTGATTGCCAAGGCGAGTCTTACAAGTACATAAGTCATGGCAAAGCTTTTGCTCTCCTAAAGACAAACAATTAAATCTTCCTGCTCCTAATCACAGAAGGCAGATATCACAAGGGATCCCAAGACTGTTCAGCTCATCCAAACTGTAGAAGAAGGCAGCAGCTGAAAGAATTGGTAAGCACATAACATAGCCTCTGCTCCGTTGACAAGGAAAAGGTTTACACAGATGTCCAAAATTCCAAATTATCCCATACTAGTTAGCAGGTAAAAATACACAAAAATGCAGGTTTAAAAGCAAGTAATACAATGTTTTCCATGCATTTATGCCCTTTTGATGTGGCTGGACTTTGGCATTATTGCACAGATCTTGCTCACCCTCAAGAAATATAAAAACAAATTTAGCAGTACTGAAACTATCAGCTACAACACTGAGAAACTTCACTGCATGGGGTGTTTATCCAGAAGTGAAAAATGAAGCTTGAGGATACAGAAAAAACAACCAAAACAAGAGCCATGTGAAAGAAGTGGACTGTTTGAGATACTATAACCTTTTACAGACTGAAATAAACATTTCCACAGTAACTCCCTATAGCTTGAACATCAATAAATACAAATAGAACTAAGCAGCTACTTTCCAGATAGGTTTAAGAATTTAAGATCTCGTTAAATGCATTCACACGTTTGCAAATGAGCATTTTTGGGGAAGTTTGGAATTTTTACCTCTTATTTTTACTGTCTGACATTAATTCAGTCACCTTTAGGGCAGCTGCATATTTCTGCTGACTTTGCTGACACAAGAATTGAAGCTTGCCAAAATTTCAATCTAATTTAGCATCTCAAATTACAGCAAGAGTTCCCAGCACAGCCATCTGAGAACTATAAAATAAGGCATAGTCCTGTACTTTTTATACTTATATATTTAAACCAATTTATATCTATATTTTTATGTATTTATGTATATTTAATAAGACTTAAACCAAATATATCCAAAACCTAACCTCTTTGTCATCTTCAGATTTCCTATCCTCCTCCTCTTCCTCTTCTTTCTCAGACTTCTCTAGCTCCTTTTGCTCTTCTTTTTGCTCCTCTACTTTCAGTTGCTTTGTCAGTCGAGCTATCAACTGAGATTTCAGTCCTTTAGAGCTAAGAGTTCGACTTTCTAATTCTTTGCGAAGGTCATTTACCTGGTAAATAAAAGCTCTGTAAGTGGTATCAACCAGTGACATTGCAAAACACGTGATTAGCAGAAAAGGTGAAGTAAAAATCAACATCACTGAAAAGTCAAGTGTATTTTTTAAAATTCTCTACTGAGTAGCACCAGTTTGTACCGATACAAATTATTACGTTTATAATCATTTGCTCCTTAAAGACCCCTTTTTTAAGGGTTTCATAGAGGCAGGGAAAGATTTGGTAGTTTAAGGCTATTATCTCCTTTGTGGAAACTTTTTATTATGTCTCCTGACATACATTTGCATCTCATTATTGCCTTTTTAAACTAACACTGAACTATTTTAGGCTCCACATTTTAAATGTGAATAGAGATGACCAGATTAACGCAGAACTTTCATTTTCCAGTTAAACTGCAACATATGCACAAGCTTTAATTACACAAAGTTCAGAAGTCACAAAAGCTTCAATTACCCATAATCACCTACTCAAATAGTCTCACTCTTTACATTGTGATCCCATACATAATAGTTATGCAAGGAACAAAAAACACTACTAAATTCTTCTCCTTGGTTAAGGGAATGACAGCTGTATGTCAGATTGTGCTTTAAAAAAGAAAATGCATGATGGAATCAAGTTTAGAAGTGTAGTTACCTTCATCGTTTTTGGATCCAGTTTAGACCAGTGTGTAGGTGTGGAGATCTCTTTTGCTTCCCCATCATCCTTTTCCTCTTCATCCTGACAAATAAAATTTTAAATTTATCCTTCAGAAAGCTTGAAAGTATTTCAGTAATTTTTAAAATTCTGTTGCTGATCTGTGCAAGGTCACAACTGTTTCAGACAGTCTTCTCCTAAAGTTATTGTTTAGACAAGTTCACACACACATTCTACCACTTCATAAATGATCACAGTGCCACTCAGCCAATACAAGCCAGATCTGTGGAACACAAAAGGGTGATAAGCAACACCACAAAGAATATCGGGGTTACACAGACACTGCCGGTCTCCATTCACCGCACAGTGTGTGATCTTCCCCCAGGTTTTAAATCCCCCAAGTTACTCTTTGTTCAGTCAGACCTTCCCTCAATCCAAGATGCTGATCAGCCACGTGGCCTGAAATTCAGATGTTTCAGACTAGTGTCTGGTGAGTTTCAAATATCACAATTAGAACTGGCCACAGGAGAGAATTTAGGAATTTTAGAAAATGGCAAAATGTTTGAAGACAGCTATTCATGAACTGCATCTCACTCAACAACTGGTCCCAGATTCCAGCAACTACTTCTATGATAAAAATTGTTCTGCGCATCGTAAGCACAATTTAATTCCATTTGTGATATCGGCATACACAGTTAAAGTTAGTAAACTAGCTGAAATAAAAATAAAAACCACCATTCACTACACTGCTGAAAGCTGGTTTACCAGTCATTGTTACCAGTTATGTTCTTCCTATGTATGTGTGTTGTGTAGTATGTGATGTGCATTTTGTGCCTGTGTTCCTGTGCCTGTGAGAAGCAGAAATAGAAAAAGGGATTAGCGTTCAGTGCCTGTTCTCCATCAGCCTCCTTGCGTTCACCCTGAAGCTTCTCGACCAGCTGCTGCTTGTATCCTCGGGAGAGGGTTTCCCACTCTGAGCGGGTGGGAAGGCAATGCCAAACATCCGGGAAAAATAAAACCACTGTCTCCACATGAGCTGGAACTGTACGCCCCTTGTGCGTCTCCTCAGGGCGATGGTAGCGAATCTCTGCAAAACGGTACCTGTTGCAAGGGAAGAAGCATGTTGGAAAAAAAATTCTACAATACATTTTAAAGAGCCTAGATCACTTGTAGCACATCAAGTAAAGAAATTTTGCTGCAAGACCTTGAAGTTTGTCTAAAGAAAAAAATTATGGAAGCCATATTTTCTCTTTCGGCACGTTCGTAAAGATGCATCGCAATTGGAAAGGAAGACAGCTGCCAAAATCCTGTTTCATACTACTTATTTAGCATACACAGGTTTAACGTGCAAATAAGAGGCACTGAAGTACATGAAATTTAGCACACAACAGACATTTCTGTGATATTAATAAAGTTACGTTAACGCGGGACAAGTGAACTCATCAAGAGAAAATATGGCTATATAACCAACAGCTAAGTATTTACAAAAGAACAATGAAATGAAGTTCTCTTGGCGATCTTCTTCAGCTATGTACAAAATGAAAAATATTTTCAACACACATTCATTAAAAATTACAGCATAACAAGTCAGAATAAATTCAGAATCTTTAATGAGTCCTTAATACATTATTCAGCAAAGTAGGCACCAATCAAACTTATTACGGAAACAGAACACCCTTTGAGTAGTTTACCTGCACTACCAACAGCAGCTGGCAAGGAAAAAAGAAGTTTTCCCGTCTTCTTTTTTTTCCTTTAATTATTATTTTTTATTTGTTCGTAACAGAAAATACTTCTACTTTACTTTGCAGTACAGTACTTACCATTGTGTGCACACACTTAAGTCAATCCCTGTAAGAGCCTTGCAACAACGAATAGCCGTCTTTATCAGCACCGAAGGGTCCTTCTCTGGATCAGGTCCATCTAGTGATGGGGACCAGTGTCCTCCAATAGCCATAGCTTCATCTTTGCCTTTCATACCCACTAAAAACTAGACAGAAAGAGTCTTCTGAATGTTCCCCTACTAGGGATAAAAAGTCATCTTCCCAAAGCGTAAAGAACATTTCATAGCACACACACTGAAATCCATGAGCAAACTCTCAGATTATTTTGAAATCTGAAAATGAAAGTCAGTCAAGAAAGAGTTCAGTTATTTTTTTCCACAGACTATTTCAGAAATGGAATAGGTTTAACACATCATCACTCATTCTTGTTTGCAAGACTTTCCATCAAGTTTCCTTATCGGTAGAGGCTTGTTCCTCTGCAATTAAAACCTTCCTAACACAGAAAACAAACACATAGTAATTTAAATGGTGTCTTAATTCTGATGCACATATTTACAGATGTACCTGCTCAGAAGTGATAAAGCACCGCTACAAAAGATAAGATCACAAGAGCATTGTATCTACAAACTCAATATTCCCACTGGTTCTAGGATGGAGTTTAAATGAAAAACAACAAATATGTTGTCTTGAAATATTATAGCACCTACAGGTTGTTCAGTTTAACAATTGTTAAGTTTCACTACAATAGGTACTGAACTACTGCTTCATTTGTATTCTTGTCACAGCTGAGACCTTCAAAAGGTTTAAACACTCGTAAAAAAAGGCTAATGAAGTTAATAATGCAAATAGGTTTCTCCAAACACCTATGTTGAGCGAGTTGAAGAAAACACTAAGTATGAAAGGAACGAAGAGAAAACTCCATTAAATTGGAAAAAGAAGTAATATCCGAACTAGATCTTTTCAGAGTGGAAATGAAGTCAGTTAGCTGCTTACAAACTCTTCCCTTTTTGGCATAACCAACCTTCATTGCCAAGAGTATCTGGCATATTTACCTTTACAAGTCTAGCAGGATGCTGAAATCCATCACGAAGTTCTTGGGGATCTTCAGCCAGAGCACAGGACTTGTGATAGAGGTCCTCCATACTAGGGCTAGCCATCAACATCACCTGTTGTGTAAATCAGGTCAGTCTTGTGAAGGTCTCCCAATATAACTGGTAAACAATGACCAAAACTTCTGTACCCATACGCACCTATGCTTTCCTTAATATCACAAAATATCAGGATATAGTAAATAGAAATCACAGAACTTGAGCTTAAAATGTCCTCTCTCAGTCCCTCACTATTCCTTATGCGTGCCACGTGATCTTAAAAATACCAACTGAAAGCATATAAAGCAACATGCAGACTGCTGTTCTTCACACTTCTACTATAAGCCAAATAGCTTATATTAAGAAGTACTGGGTACATTCCTAGTTTAAGTAACAGACTTCTCCCATTTTGTTGCAATCCCAAGAGCTGGCTGACATTCATCTGTACCTTCTTAGCAATCCCACAGGCCCCGCCAAATCTAACAGGCTTTCTTAATAACCTAAATAGCTTAATATTATGAAACAGAAAGCTGTTTTCTCATTTAAAGATTGTATTTTAAAGCTCAACTTTCTGAAAGAGTTGCATAGGTAGAATGTAAAAAAAAAACAAAACAGTACACCTGATGTTTTAGTCAAGGCTTCCTTGTGGTTTTTTTTTTTTTTTTTTTTTTTTAAACAGTCAGTACACTAAGACTTTCTAAAATAGAGTTTTGTTTCTAAATCTAATTGATTCAGAAATTTCAGACTTATTTTAATTGAAGAGCTATCACAGGAAAGGGTGTTAGGAACTGTTTAGATAAAAATTGCCTAAGAGATGTATTCAAAGATCCTGCAGCTTTGTTTCCTGGGTGCAGAGAATACAAAAGTATCTCCATAAAAACAAGATTTAGGACAGCTCTAGTAGCAGAAAAACCAATTAATTTCCATCATAATTCTTCAAGTTCAATCTACCAGCTGTTCACTAAAAGGTTTTAAATACTGTATTTTGCTCAAATAAAAAGAAAACAGTTCAATTATATATTTTCTTACCCTACTGGCAAATAAATAAATAAATAAATAAATCTAAGGAGCAGCTGTAACACCAGCAACTGTACAAACCTTAGCACTGTAGAGATGATCAGCATCAGGTGGATCGAGGACAGCAGCATTTTTATCTATAGGGTCTACTTCTCTATGCATTACATAGAAGTTACAGTAGTTTCCCAGTTGAAATGGTCTAGACATTGGGAAAGCATCCACCCATGTAAACTGAGCATCGAAGAAATCACTTGGGATATACAAGTTCTGGTAACGCCTCCTCAACTCCATCATATCACAGCTGCGGCTGAAACACACAACAGTATTTGAAAGGTACAGCAATAAAAAGTGTAAGAAAAGCACATAATTATAAGAATAAATATACCTCTTAATTGGAGACACGTTAAAGAGTAATATATCTAATGAGTCAGGTACTAAAAAACAACTATTAAACATTCCTCTGATAAAGGTGTCTACAAACTAGGGAATACTCGTTAAACAGCAAGGTTATGAATCCATTTTGCACTAACACCAAAAGGTTAACAGAGAGCCCAGAACATTTCACTCACGATTCTCAGCCGTGAAGTATTGGATGCTATTTTGAAGTCAGGATCATAACGCCCGCTGAATACATTTGCGGACACTTCCCACAGTAATTTGTACCCACTATTAAAATGAGATCTTTAAGTGAAAATCTGGTGTTATAAACATACCAGTCCAATGAAAACTTAGAAAACTGAACCGTGTAACGAGGAACAACACGTCGCGGTCTTCGGGGCGACCTCTCCCTCTCTCGTCGAGGCGATCTCTCTCTGGAGCGTTTTCTCTGCGGGGATCTTTCCCGAGATCGACGCCTCTCCCGATCTCTCTCACGGCTTTAAAAGAAAATGCATACATTCTAGCAACATGCAAAGCACCTGTGTAACACAAAAAGCTTTCTACCACAAAGGAAGCTAGATTTCTCAGGGACGACTCACAAAAGGGAAAGGAGAATTTGCTGAAAAAAAAAAAACCAAACGATGAGGAATTTCTTTACAAAAGAGACTGATAAATCCAATTATTTTATTTCAAACAGGTAAGAACTCTTCACTGAGTTCCATTTAACTAATGTTATCAGTTATCTAGTGCTACAAACAGTTGTGCATATCACTGTCCCAGCCTAGCGAAAGCAGCTCAGCTTTCTTAGACTAGATTATAATCAGAGCAGGCTACAAAGATCTGTCACCAGCACACCTCCTGTCATCTTTTCGGTTTGGCATAGGATCTCCTCCTCTGTCATTCCTCCCGGAAAATCTGGATGGTGGGTCCAATCTTCGAGCCGGTTGAGGCTGTGAAACTAGACGGACAGGGGGCTGTAACAAACCACCTGGAACAAAAACGTACAGAATCAGTACCTAGCAGAGGACAACTGTGTAAGTCCCTAAAAACACTGCCACTTCACTGTTGTTTTCTTTGTGTACATGTATGTTTTCTAAAACATCTCTAGAGTCTATTGATTAACATCGTTCCCACCAAGAAACTCTATAGACCTTTGCTTTTCTTCACTGATACAAATTTAGCCTCTAGAATTTATTTCAGGAAGCAAAACTGCTTTAAAAGTACATTTTTAATACAGAAGTTAATATAAATCTAAGCACATAGTAGTTACCCTAGTAAATACCTAAACCTTCTCTTAGAAAAGTAACGCTTTTAAGACGGGTATATCACATACTCAAAAAAATAAAGAAAACCTACAACCTATTTATCATGTTTTTTACCTATGAATAGCAACTAGCTTATTGTAAAAATTACTCCTGTATCATCTGATTATCCTGGCATATCAATTCCCAAACATACAATTCTGCTGGCTCAAGACAATACACACTTAACTGATTATAAATAGAGCAAATAAACACTGATGAACAACCGGGACCAATTAGACTGTAATAAGCACTTATCCAAAACAGTTCTGCTTAGATGATGCCCTCTCCTTGCTTTTCTTGTGGGTAGGATGACAATGCCTTGATTGTCTTATCATCAATTCTATTACTGATTTGTCAGTCACCCAGAGATCAAATGAAAACAGACTTTGTTTCAGATCTGCCATATTCAGTAATTTTTATTTTCATAAGTGTCAATTTGGCTGACTGAAATGAATAAAACACTAATATAGAAATAACAGTTTTAGGAACATCATTATGCAAAACCTGACTTTGCTGAACATTCCGAATAGTGCTGAAGAACTACAGCACTACCACAATTTTCAACTCTCCCCGTTGTCTGCTAAAGTATCAGAACAAAAAACTACACCAGATAATGACATCTTAGTAGGAATGACAAGAGTCTGTAGGAATGTCACTAACCAGGTGACTCTTGAGCTAGTAGTGAAGGCAATGTGCCATGCATAGAGTTGCAAAAAGATGCACATTCTAACTGAAAAATTATGAACCTGTCCTTCTGTGGAATTCTTTCCACATTACTTCAACTGTTATTTCAGACTTTGCACTGACAAAAAAAAAAAATCACACTAAGCACAGTAAGAACTAGAACAAGCTTTGCATGCTGAAGGAGCACCTTTTTGCTGTGGCTGCTGCAGCAATGGCTGAGGCTGTGTCTGAAGCAGAGGTGTGATTGAAGCTGCCGATATCTGCGCCTGCAGCAAGGATTGAGGCTGAGGCTGTGCCTGAACACCGAACGCCGTCTGCTGCGCAATGGGCTGAAGAACTGCAGGAGGTGTCTTGAGTAATGGTTGAGCCTGTGTCTGGTTCTAATAGCAGAAAAGAAAATGAGTTGTGAAGGTGCTTAAACCAGAAGAGGTCAGTAAAAGATACACTGGGCAACCCTCCTACCTGATTTGGAAGCGTCTGGATCCTTTGTGCATTCCATTTGAACGGCATATTAGGATTGTAAGTAGCTTCCACTAAAACTCTGTCACCCACCTGAGGTGTCTTTCCTTTAACAGCACTGCAAATATTGCAATAAGCATACTGTGAGTCTTATTTAGCTACAGAAACTATTTTTACATTTATAAGTTATGTTTGAAGCTGGGGAAAGCAGATAAAAGTTCACAGAGAAGGCTTAAAGGAAGAAAGGTACAAGGTACACTCAGTTTGGAGTATGAGAAAAAATGTTACACCTGTCCTTGGCTCTAACACAAATTCCTCAACTATACTGTATTAAGATAGGCAGATAGCAAAATATATGCATTTAATCACCCACAAATTCTGCAATTTCATATTATAAGGAGCTCACTATCTTCTGCATCTCTTAACTTTGGATTCTGCATTAAGAAAACTCAAAAATTCATGTAAGGAACTCAGATCTACTGTCTACTAACTCAGCATCTGACTCGGTGCTGACTGAGAAAAGCTAACTGCAGACATTGTGAGTTGAGTCACAGAATTGTAATGCAGTAACATAAACCTTTTCTCTAGCAAGGGCAGCACAGAACACATCAGCAGACAAGTGTTTGCACCTTACCTAAGTTGAAAAAAGACATCTTCATCCACAAAACCAAATGTATCATGCAGTTTAGTAACAACCCCAGTGAAGACGCGCTGCTTTTGCGGTTGCGTTTGCTGCTGGCTTGAGCGGGGCGCTGGGTAAGAAACTGTTATCTGGGCTGCTGGTTGAGGAGTAGATAGGCTAAGACTGGTAGGCAGTGCAACAGCTGGCTGCAAGCAAAATAAACAAAACAAAAAAAATCACCTAACCAGATGATACATCTACAAGGAAGTTTTTAACCAATGTAGAGAAATACTTATGAAATCTCTAGAGCAACTATTCTGAACAGAGATTTTCAGAAGGTGGAAGTCTTTATTTTTTTTTATTTTTGAAGATAACGATCTTTCGACTTCGAATGGAGTCTGGCTTTATCCTTTAGAAAAGTCAACTTTCTCAAAATATTAACACTGTCTAGAAAAAAATGAAGACTTCACTATCGTGTGTAAGTAACCCATACAGTGGGTTGAAGAGAGAGAAATGCTAACTCTGCTATTAAAACATGCTTACAGATCACTCCCCAGTTGTACCCCAACTATTTATTCCAAGTAGGTTAAAGGCTGAGGCTAACAGAGCCCTTCCCTAGCCCAGCAAATTTAAGTGCTTGTCTTCTTATTAAAACACAGTAGAAGACTGAAATTAAGTAAACTATTTTTACCTCTTTTTTTTTCTAAGAATGATGTTAATTTTTAAATTTAATTTTTTAAATTTAAATTTAAATTATGTTAAATGTAAACAGTACTAGAACCAATGCAAGTGTTAAATGGCTGTATGTTCAACTTTCTCAAGCTCAGCAAGACTCTCTGTAGACCTCTAGTATTCATACTGCAATAAGGTTAGCACAAAGTTAAATTCCTCTTTAAAGGACTTTCCCCATTACTGCAAAACAACTGAATACTTGAAGTTCAGAACAAAAAGAAGTATTCAACATACATTTCCTTCAATATGAAGGAAAAGCAGTTGCCATTAAACTTTTGAAACCAAGGCTATGCATATTTTAACATCTGGATAAAATAAATCTATACCAATAAGATGGCCACTCATATTAGTTCATTTTACAGATTGAAATGCTCAGGAAGTCAGAAATTTGTGCTCTTGCATTATCTGTGTTTGGGGGTGAAGACCAAACAATAAAACCAAACTAACCTGAGTTAAAATGGTCTGCTGAGGTTGCTGCAACTTAAAATAAATAAAGTTATAAATTAATTTTATATGCTTAAGGAAACTGTACAATTTCACCTCCTTTTTACAAGTAAGAGCAGTTTTTGCTTAATCTGAGTCACTAAAACTTTGGGGGTTCGATCATTTAAGCAGATTGCATATTCATAAAATTGTGTTCATTTGGTTAATTGTAACACTGTGCAATTCAGATTTATTAAGTAAGCAGACGTTTCCTTGTAACTGAAAGTTAACAGGAATATAAAAAAAAGTTTTGGCAGCTGGAGAAGCTTAGGCCTGTAATCCCCATGTCCTTTTAGTCTTTTTCAAAGTCCTGTAAATTCAAAGACCATGAAATATGTAAAAGGGAACTTTTTTTGGACAGCATCTTTCCAGCAGTTAAAATACATGGCCCTGATTAGAGCAAAGTTTAGAAGGAATTGTGTACACATGGAATACTATGTATGTTTTATTTTCTTTTTGCATTAAGGTAGGCAGGCTTCTGTTCTGGATATATCTCTCCAAGTTTGTAAACTTCAAGCTCTCTTTCACTACACAAAACGTTAATTACTTTAATAACTTCCCACGTGAGGATGTTTTTGTAGACAACTCCTACAATACACACAACCAACATTACTTTTCAAGTTTGTGATGTACACAGTAAGAATCAGACAAACCTGTTGCTGTACACTATAGAGAGTCTGCTGAGGCTGTGAATATTGCTGAAACAGATAAAAGCAAAAATATTTCATGAACAGGAAGTATTATTAGGCCCAAAATATCAAATCCAATTAACTACTAGACACGTTTGAGATAAAAACTATTCAAATGTAACAATAGAATATAGAAATATATCAATATGTACTACTTTTATAACAAATATTCTTCATCTTTAGACTGGATTTTGACTGGACTTCTCAGCCAAAGCTTTACATTAGCACATACAGGAGAATCTGCACGAAATCATGAAAAATGACATCAGGTTACATATGGTTACTGGGGATATTTGCAATTTGAGATATTCAGCTTAGGTGTGGCAGAACTCCTTTTCCTGGACTGCATTCCATAGCCAACAGTCAGCACCTCCACAGCCAAAATTCCCACCTTCCCCAATTGATCCATCTGTCAATAGCTGCAGACCTACGATCCTATGGGTTTTGTTTGTTTGTTTGTTTTTAAAGTCTACAAAACAAAGGTAAATATTCCCCCATTTTCTTTCCTTATACATACTTCTGCTTCACAAAGCCAGTGTTTTATATTTCTAAGCTCCTAACAACAACCGCAAACGCTCTGTTCTTTACCTGCTGTAAGGCAGCTGCTGCAGCTGCCGCCTGCTGCTGCAAAGCGGCCGTCTGAGTTAGCTGGTAGTTGGCTGGCGTTTGCGTAGTCAGCCCTGCCGCGGCCAGCGCCGTCTGCTGGGTGTATATTGTAGGAGAGGCTCCAAGCAGCGACGGCTGCTGCACACCAAGAGCAGCTGAAAGGAGAAGGCACACATCAGCACCAAGAGTGGCTTTAAACAGATTCACTTTCTCGCAGTTGTATTAGACGCGGCACGTGATGCTTTACTCCTCAGTCAAGCTCCTGAAGTACATAATCCCACTTGGGAAAAAAAACAGCGTAAGGGATCACACTCTCTTTTACTAAATGTATTTACAAACAGTACAGTACAGCAGAGGCACGGAGACTTGAATTTCCTTTTCTCTCAAATTGCATATGACTGCACGGCTATACTAACTGTCAGCCCCGTCTCTCGCCTGCTCCAAACACATGCATTCAAGAAAAGATGCAGCATGTTTCAGGCTTTGGATGAGTGCAGTAAGGATTGTTGCTCTCTTCTGCACATCAATTAGCATTTCATTCTGAGGGTGCGAGAAATCACAGAATCATAGAATCACAAGGTTGGAAACGAACTATAAGATCATCCAGTCCAACTGCCTTACTGTAGCAACCGTCTCCTTACTGTAGCAGCAGCTCTGGGGTGAGGTTTATAGAAAGTGTGCTCCGCAAATGCACAAGGCTTGGCTTCACTCAGTGCTGTCTTTGTCCCAGAACAAGCTGAATTTCATAGCTGTAGGGGCTGGTAGAGAGTGAGCAGCTCTGTAACAACAGGGAGCTTCATCACTCCTCACACATAAAGGGAGCCAGCCACGCTGTCTCCTGTCTATGCTGCACAAATCCACACCATACAGAAGGAAAAAAGTAATAATTTTATTGTCACATCAGCTTTTAATTCACTGTAGAATATGAAGTAAATCATAAGCAGCAGCTATCCACGTGGTTTGTCTCTTCCAACGATTATGTTTTATTTAAGGAACTCCTAGGTACAGAAAACACCGTAGAATGCAAATCTCAGTAAAGAAATGCAAACCCATCTGGAAACCTGCTCCACCTACAGCACGAGTTTGTCAAGCAAGCTACGTTCAACTGTGTGATCAAATATCATTAAAGCAAGCTATCAGTGGTTCATGTGCTTCAGCGGAACTAAAGAGAAGCTCGGCACAGAAGCATGCTGCCAGCAAAAATGGGTCAGCCAGCCACTTTCAGAACATTCAAGGTGAACAGGGCTACTAAAGACACAATGATATTAAGAGCACATACACTGCATTCTTCCTGTGGAATCACACTCCACACTGTTCCTGACCCCAAACGAAGCTGTCACTTCTGACCCACAGATGCAGTAAGACTGCTTTGTGCTTAGTGACCAACAGAAAATACACAGGCGCTGTAATCAGCATAACAAATTCTGAATGAGGCAAACCCCTCTTCTTACACTGTTCTCTGCAGGAAGGTAAAAATACTTGGAAAACAAGTTGATGACATTAAGCATCTTACAATTTTGGAATGAAATCTGTAAGAAATCCATTAAGAACCATGAAAATAATGATCACCGGTATGATTTATATCAAATATTTCACATAAGTATTCCAGGAAGTAAAACTATTTTAACAGTGAAATCAACCATTCTACAGTACAGCAGAATAGCAGTATTTCCAATATGATGCCACTTTCCCCCTGGAAAATTCCAACATTCACTTGGCTTCAGAAGCCAAGTAAACCAAACGTGGGTCTCCTGCCAGGACGGGCCCTGCACTGCCTCCATCCTCACACCTACTGCTGCTTCTCCCTCTGCCAGTTCCAATTACAACCCCAGTTCCTGACCATCCAGAAGCACACTCTCACCAATGTCTTATATAACACACCTTAAACAGACCCTAGATCTAATCAAAATGCTCTGCTGATGTTATCCTGGAATAACTTCCATTTTTCTTGTCTAATATTACTTTGCTGGCTCATTCAGGACAAAAACAAACAAACCACCAAATGCATTATTCTTTCACTTCCAAATGCTGAACAAAAATTCCTATTAGCACATGAGTTCACTTAATGCTACTGACTTTGAATCTGTTTGACTACGCTAGCTACCATTATTCACTCTGAAGTTTATTCTAAATCACCTATGGCCAAATCTGAGTCCTAGGCTGCAGCTCAAACATCCTTCTATCTCATAGAAATTTCTACTGTTACAAACAAATTATAATTTTTTTTTTTTTTAAAGCAATATTTAACAGTTCCTCTTGCTTCTCAATTCCAGCGGTAAGTGACATAGATCTATGTGTTACAGTAAATAAGCAGCCTGCCTACCCAGGGCTCTGGATGCCTCTCAGAATTGACAGCAAATGTGACTTCCCACCACACACTTGTCCTTCACCGACACTTCTCTTAGTCATCTTATAGCAGCCACGAGCAACAACAGGGCACAACTGTTGCATTAGATCTCGATACAGCAATGAAGACAACACTCATCAGCCAGGACTTCCCTGGGACCACAGCTGCACAAAAACAGGTTCCAAAACACAAGGGGGACATCTCAATCCTGAAGATAGCACATGCTAAGCACCGTTCCACCAACAAAACACACTGAGAGAGCAGGAAGGTATCTGAGGAATTCACGCATCATCACACGAATCAGAAGTACTTAGAACAAGCACTTTGTTTTATCTAGAAATTTCACATTTTTAATTTCCTACCTTTCAAGTTTCTGCAATAGCTACAGTCTACACTTTAACTATTCTGAAGCAGCATAGCAGGGACTTCATTCTGTTTTCAGTTATGCAATGCACAAAACCATTCCACTAGACAACAACTTCACCACGTGGCTCGTCAAAGTCTCTCCTCACCAAGCATTTACTGGCCTCTGGAATTACTTGTCTTCTAACACCAGAGGCACAGACAGCAATTAGTAAATAATTGTCCCAGAACAATCCCAGGAACACTTCATTACATGGTATGTAACCCTACAAGTACCTTAGAGTGATGTACTTTAATTATTAAGTCCGAACTAGTATAGTGACTTCTTCACCAGAAATGGCCAACACACTATTAAAGTCAGCAAGAGAAAAAAAAAATCCTCCTGAAATTATCTTTTTGCAACTATCAAATTGATTCTGCAATATAATCAGGCACCATTTGTGACCAAAATTTAGGAAAAGCTCCACATCACACAGCTTGCATTATGAAAACCAGGATTTCTTTCCTCAATATGCAAGCACCCTGATGCTTTGGAGAAGGAGCCCAACACTCCAATAAAAACAGCTGCCATTCATAAATCTGTTTAACAGCTTTTACAAAATATTGGTATTTCTTTTTCAGTCTGTTCATGAACATAAAGATTTACTCAAGCCAGCCTGCACAACTTCTTGATCTCAGCTGCAGGCGAGAAGCACCACATGCCAGTCAGCACCCCCGATCAGCAGAGCAGCCCAACAGACAGGCAGGCACACCTCCGTGTGAAAGCTGCAGGAATGGGGGCTGCTCAACTGCAGCTCAGAGCTGAACTGCTTCAGCTCTCAGCAGGCCAAGGAACACACGTTTTTCAGAAAGATTTCTTGCACTCCCTGCTACAAATCAGGACAGCCAACAAGGAAGGAAACTGTGTACATGAGCACTACAAATGGAGCAGGGGTGGCAGTATCTCAGTGACTGGAATTAGTAATAAAGACAAGAACGACAGAGGACACAGACGTGCCAACTGTGTATAGCAGCAGGAACAGGAAGGGACCACAGAGAGCGATGTAAGGAGGTAAATGCTTTCAAGTGATCGCGAAGGACAGTGGAAACTCTGCAAGAAGATGGCAGAATTGCAGTTAAACATTAGTCTTCAGAGGCTGCTATGTTAGCATCAGGTGCTCCTGGATTAGATGAACAGCTGAAAATCCCTGGAGATTCCCTGTCCTCATTTAACTGGTGAAACATCTCACACAGCAGCAACTGATGGTCCTATCCCAATTAAATTCTGCATTTCGTTTAATTGAAGGAGGCTGAGAAGCAGGCTAACCAAAGGTAGAACTGCAGGAACAGGACTAGGGATCAGAAGTGAGGCTGTGCCTCCAGTGCCCACACTCCACCCACTATCTGCCCAGGGCTCCTTCTGGTCTTTACCTTGGGAAGTGTAAGATGGCTGCTAGCTACTCTCTCCAGATTTGTGTGGCCTTCCCTCCACAGAAGCATGAAGCCAGCCCTCAGGCCAGCCTTGTATCCACCTCCCTGATGTTCTGGCTGCTGAGAAGGCCCCAGCCCCGAGGCTGCTGTCCTTCAGTTCCCCCAAGGTGGCACCAAGTCAGACACTACAACCAATGGCAACATCTGTCTCTCCCATGCTCACTACACCTGCCCTTGCCCATTGGTAAGCAACTTCTCAGAGGAGTGGCACCACTTGAATGAGGGAAGCACAAGTTATTCAGAGAAATGAGGAAAACTGCACGCAGCCAGCTGGTGGGGCACAGCAGCAGCAGAGGCAAAGGGCTGCACAGGGGTAACCTGAGACTGCATGCAGCTGAGGTCACAGGTGAGGGAGGCAGTGTCCTTAGGGTATGCCTTCAGGCTGGAGTTGCACCCAAAGGAAAAACTGGAGATGGAGTAAGTTAGGGAAAGCAGAGTCAAGAGAGAGTTGTTGGTTTGTCTGTCCAGGCACACAGCTCCTGTAAATAACAGGTATGCGTCCTCAGCTTGTGCTCAGAACTCAAACCCTGACCAGGGAGGGATGGCACGCTGCTTCAAATCAAACAGGAGTAAGACTCCAGAGATAATGAAACAAAAAACAGACAATTCTTTATCCTGAGTCCTCGAAGATGTTCCACATCTTTTTTTTTTTTTTTAAACCATTATTACTACTATTCACATCAGGCAACTTATAATATTAAGGAAAGTTTGTATAGAAGAAAAAAAGCAGCTCTGAAGTTCACCACACAGCAAGCTTCACATTTCTGGCTCAAAACCCTCAGCACTATAAAACAACGTGAAAACAAAATATAGCTTGTTAAGTTTTCAAAAATACCGTGCTGCAACCAAAGAGGCCTCTCAGGTAAAGCAAAAACACCCCAATACCAGCAGGGCGATGTCTCTGGGTTCTAGGTTGGTGTTAAATATATACAGATATACAGGCACACACACACATATATACAGCTGCTCCCCACCAAGTAGCAAACTTCAGGGACGTCTTCACTGTACAAAGCATGCCTTCTGTATTAATAAGATGAATTACTTTGTAAGCACCAATTTAGGCTGCCCTGGAAATGAAACTCTGGCAGCACTTCAAGAACAGCAGTGCCTTACTGGGGCTGACATTACTTAACATGGAGCAGCGCGGTGTGATTTACACACCGCTGGATATGAATAACTCAATACCTTGTTTACTTATCCTGTGAATCAATAGAAATCCATCTGCGATTTTACTCATCTCCCTTCACAGAGCAACTGATATTAAGTCAAATATATTTAAGCATCTGTACGGTGTGGGAAGCTGCCAACATGAGCCGTTTATAAAGAACACTGCCGCCTCTCAGGGCTGCACGCCCGTGGGAGCCCGGCGCAGATGCCGTGCAGTCACTGACCTGGCTGGGACACGGCGGTGGCTGTAAACTGAGTGGCCCACGGAGGGTTCTTCTGTCCTCCGAACTGAGCCATGGCGAAAGGCAAAGCTCCCGGTGCCTAGCTTCTGGAACCGCAACCTACGAGAACAGAGCGCAGCTGCGAGCTTTGAAACACACGCAAACAAAAGAAGAAAAAAAAAAAAAAAAAAAAAGAAAAAAAACGCGCTCAGTGCCCGCCAGCACGCGGCACCGCGGGAAACACAAACTGCCGCCGGAGAGCCGCCACGGGCGGGCCGGGACGCAAAGCAGCGCAGCGCTCCCGGAGCCGCGGGCGGAAAGGAGGGGGGGGGAGGGCAGAACGGCGGCCCCCGCACGGTGCGGCACAGCCTCGGGGAAAGCCCGCCGCCACTCCTTCACCACGAGATTTTTAACTAAGACAACACCAGAAGTACAAAGGCAGCAAAAAGAAAGCAGCAGCAACAAAACGCCGTCTCGGCACGGCCGGAGCCGCACGCCGAGCCCGGGCCACGGAACGGAACGGAACGGCCCGGCCCGACACGGCACGGCCCGGGCGGGAAGCGGCCGCCCGCCTGCCCTCCCCCCACCTCTCCTCTTCCTTCTCCTCCTCTTCCTCCCCTGACCACCGGCGCCATCCCACGCGCCCGCTGTGGCCCCGGCTCCCCCCACGGCTCCCCCCACGGCTCGCCCCGAGCAGGCCCCGCGGCCCAGCCCGCCCCACGCCGGTACCTGAGCGCCGCCCGATCGCGGCCATTGCCGGCCCCTCCGCGCCGCCCGCACCTCCGCTCGCCTACACCGCGCAGGCGCGCGCACTCCCGCGGGCGGCGCCGAGCAGCGGCGCACGCTGCTGACGTCACGGTCTCCTCCCATACGGGGCGGGGGACGCCCGGCGCGCAGGCGCGGGGCGGAGCCGAGCAGGCAGTTGGGCGCGCGCCCGGCCCGCCGCGAGCGAGATTGTGAGGGGGAGGCGTCGGGCGCCATCTTGGCCGAGGCGGGCCGGCTCCGGCGGGCCACCATCTTGCGGGCGGGTCAGCTACTGCGGTCTGGGCAATGCCTCCCTTGCGATGTACGGAGGCGGCGGGCTCGTTCCCTTTGTCCCTTCTTCCCTGGCGTGTGTTAGTGCACCGCCAGACGCTCGTCCCGGCAGCCCGGCCGCCTCCTGGCCCGGCAAAGCCACTGAGAGAGCGGCAAAAAGGAAAGCCGTCTCACCGTATCTTTCTGGCGCGCACGGCAGCTTCACGCCTGCGGGGTGACGGCAGCACACGAGGTGGCAGAAAGCAGGCTGCCCAGGGAGCTGCTCTGCGGCAATTCGCAGTCAGAAACAATTGCAGTAAGTAGTGTGAGGGCTACGCTCATCTCTCATCCGTCTTTAAAGGACGTCGCAAATAGCGCGTTTTCAAGCCAAGTTTACTTTGAGGTGAAATATGCACGCAGGGTGTTACTCGCAGTTGGAGGGCAAAGTCAAGACGACACTGAGTCAGAGCAGGACTTCACGGTGTTTTATTGTAATTAGAAACAAAAATTAACAGTGAAACGAGATCTTGAGGGACAACAACACGGAGCGGGCTGTCCTGCAGGGGCAGCGGGCTGCGTTGTGCCACAGGAGGGGAGCTAGAGGAAAAGGAGACCGCCACATCAATTCCTCTCAGCGTTTTGTATTCAGTAATACACAAAGACACAGCTGCCTTGGAGCTTACACAGAAGTTTAAATGCTTTTGACCAATCAGCATGGTTCTTCATATTTTAAATATTTCCGCGTTTTAAATAGTACTTATGTCTCTTCCTGATGTAACTACATCAAATGCAATTGCCTTGACTAAGGATCTGTACTCCATGACCTACGAACGATTTAGAAGCTGAAAAAGTGCTGTTTAATACTATAAATGGAAAGGACAGCGGCAACATTTTATAAAGCAGAAATTTGACAGCAAATATCAAGATGCTACAAAGTAGCTCTATTCTTCAGCCCTTGAGGCCAGGGCCTTTCACTCTGAGGATGCCTAGCTCTTCGTGATGCTCTCAGGGAAAACCTTAGAAGCTCATACAAAAGCCTAGAGTAGAAGATGGTTTCGTGTACTTTCTCCTTTCCGTGTATGCATACTGCAGCCATAACTGGCACATACTGCCGTTGCCCTGTAGAGTACACTCATGACTCCTTTTGATTTTCTTGGGTTCTGCTGTTATGACAAGGAACAGTTTAAATGGGAAACAGTGAGGGGAAAAAAATAAGTAAATGCTTCTAGGCTTTTTTTTTTTTTTTTTTTTTTTTTAAGGAAGAAAGGAACGAACAGCTACAACAAAATTCAGGCTTAAATGAATGTTGTGTGCTCTTTTCCCCAAGCCCTAAATATCTGTTAAGTACACCAGACAGTTCAGACAGTTGCTACAGAAACAGAAGACTGGAAAATGTGACAGTTCTACAAGTTAGTTTAATTGGGCAAACTGAGAAAAAGTGAGGAATCAGAAGTTAAAAAGCTATACTGTGTACCTGGCATCCAGCATTCCTGGTGGTTGCAGAAATCTGTAAGAACAAGCTGGGTATATTGTGGAGAGAAAAGATGATTTGTAGATACTATAATTAAAGAGCTTTCTATGTGTTCTGGCATGAATGTCACATTTAACAAGGATGACTGCAGAAGACCAAAGGAAATAACTGTGGTATCAGGAAATGCTACATAGCAGTAAAATCTCTGGGTGCAAATAGTTATTATTTGGGATTTCTGGTCTTTGATACTCTGCTGCCTAGCTTTGCCCAGGAAAGCTTGAAGGTGGTCTGTGCTACAGTTCTGAGCAGAAGTTTTTTGGAGTGAAAAATTATGTATCCTTTTTGAACTGATGTTAATTTGGGAGTAAATGAAACACTTACTGCAAAGTGTTTAAAACTAACAGCTTTCTGTTTGTAGTTCTTAAGAATCCATGACTAAAAGAGCTCTCAGAAAAACACCTCTTTGTATATCACAGCACAATCATTGAAATAGATACATTTTCCACTGTGACAACAGCAGGCAGCCTTACTGATTCAGCAGTACAGAAGAAACAACAAGTGCACCAAAAACCATAAACACACAAGGGGAAGCATGCTGATCTTGATATCGAGTGTAACCAGAGCAGATTTAGATGTGGATTTCACAGGTCTCAAATGAGCATGCTGGTTGTTCAAAACCCTCACGTGTGACGTGCTTTGAGATAGGGGGGTTTCCCCATCAGCCCAGGGATTGTGAAGCTGTGCTGGTTCTATGTATATGATGTAAGTTTTACATCTGCACTGATGTTGATATCATCAACATTTGCCACACTGTATTTGTTGTTTAGTGCAGTATCTCACCTTCCAGTGAAGGAAGACACACACAAGTAAGTCCTGTAATTCATGTTAGAGATACAAACATTTGACTTTAGTGAAACAAACAAATGACACCAACTTCAGATCTCTGAGAAGTTGAAGCCACAGAAAAATGATGATATACTTGTCATTAAGTAAATCCTTACTGTCTTCAAAGCACCCCTGAGATATCTCCTTAGTGTGATTGCATCATGAGATTACCACAAAACAGAACATTTGCTGCGGAGCTTTTGCCGTCTAACGGAGTCACTGGGTATCAGCTGCAAACAATAACTGTCAGTGCCTGGAGAAATAAGTTATACCTGACAGCCTTAGAAAAGCAGAAGTCCTATTTTTGTAATAAAATGAAACAAGAAACTGTTATAACACTTCATCCTTCCTTTGAAAATATGGGCAGGGTTGAGGTTGTTGTAAGGACACAATAAGCCATGTGCTTCAGAGGCACCATCTGCACTACCACAGGCTGCTTCAGTATTACTCTACAATAAATCACTGTACATTATTGATATTTCATAGAGAGTAACATGCCAGAATAAAAATGTTTTGGCTGAACAGTTGTTAAATAGTGAACTTCATAAAAAATAAGTTAATAATAACTTCTATAACATACTTATCAACCAGCTGTCACTGTGCAGCAGCATAAAGGATATTGTGATATTTTCCTGCATCATGTAGAACTAACCTGAGATACTTCAGGTGCAAACTGTGAAAGAAAAACATTGAAGGAAATGCGTAAGAAGCTTATCTTTGGTCAGAAAAGTAATCAGTTTTGACTGTACTATGTGGTTAGGAGAACTGAGCATTTTTACCTTTGCAGATATCTAGCAATATCTGACAATAACAATGGTTCAGTTGATGGCTTTTTTTTTCTTTTTTCTTTTTTCTTTTTTCTTTTTTTTTTTTTGTGTGTGTGTGCTCAAATTGCAGGAGTCATTTGAAGTCTAGAGCCCTTAGAGACACCAACAGGCTTTTTCTTGCACAAAATCACCTGTTGTAGTCTTTCCCTGCTTTAGAGAGGATTTGATAAAGGTGTTTCTGAACTGGCATGACCCCTCAAAAACACGACGGGGACATCATCAAGTTAAATCAACCTGACTGGGTGTAGCAGATTGCAGATAACATTCTGTATGTGTTTGCTTGTTTTTAAGAGTCTCAAGGCAAAGAGAGAAAGGGTTTTATGGTTTGTTGTATTGGGACAAAGTTAAAGAAGTTGAGAACAGATTTCTGACAAAGTGTGAATTACTGTAGATGTCCTGTAGTAATATGGATTGGTACAGATGTTAAAACAACTTTTAATTATTTTGAAGTTAACACACACAAGGAGCACAGGGACCATCAGACACAGTGCACTTAACCGGTAAAGTTCACTGCCTGAAGGAATAGGCAGTAAATGGGTAAAACAACTAGAGATCATGTTTTCAGGGAGCTCAAAGAAGAGAATCTTATCTCTTGGTCCTCATTTATTCACATTGCCAAAGCAGTGGGAAGTGACAGTCTATAAAAGGCCCACCTTCTGGAATTAGGACTACTACTGAGTGCTTTGTTTGTAAACTCTGGTGAGAACATTCATCATTCTGAGTGAAGAAATGACTCATAAAAGTCTTAAAGTGCTAAGAAAAGCCAGCATGATGCTGGTTTTCTACCACATCTCATCTGCAGCATGTTTCTGGAAAGAAAACCCTCTAACTCCCATGTGTTGTTATAGACATTGAACTTAGAAGGTAAATGCAATGGCCGCCTTTCTCAGGCATGAAAAAGAAGAAAAAGAAACCCACCCAAAAAACACAAAACCCCACCCTTTTATTAAGGCTAGTTGGTGTTTATAGCTATAATTTAGCCGCAGTGGAGTGTCTGGCATCACTCCTGACACAGGGGGCTACAGCACACTTTTGCTGAGGAAACCCAGTCAGCTCTGCAGGAACTACCTGGAATTCTCTCTCAGATGGGCACATAATGAACGGCTGCTGGAAGCTTGTGGAATTACGTAAAGAGTAAAATGCAGTTCTCAGTATTTCACCCTGCAGCGTGTGTGATACAGTTCATACACAACAGGTTGGTTACTGTTGCTGCGATAGATAAGGGGAATAAAACCAGGGATGCAAACAAGGCTGGCTCCGTTCACAAATGTGCCTAACAGAGCTGAAGGCATTTCCATTGTGACACAGCCGTGTCCACAGCCAGAGTTAAATTATGAAATAATAACATTCAGAGAAATGGTGACAGAAAAAAAAAAAAAATGAAATCAGGTAAAAAATGATGTACAAAAAGCAGTCTGTTAATATGATAGTGCTGCCCCCAGGAAGAAGGGGATTCTTTAGGTGGAAGTGAAGAATGCCTTTTACAGAGCTGCTGCAGTGTGGCAGCAGCAGCTCAGGGGAGGTGCAATTCAACAGAGCCCAGCTGTTACCAAAGCTGAAGCTGCTGGCTGCCTCTGTGGTTATACAATACCGTGAGCTGAAGGTGTTTCCGCAACAATAAGGAAACTCTTAACACTTAG